CGCAGCCATATATCATAGCTTTAAGCAAAAGTTACAATTTATTTTGAATAATAATTACAGAGTGTTCAATTATATTTATATTAATCAGTCTAGTGCGGCCGGAAAATACTACCATTAATGTTCGGACTGATCTGGATTAGTGCCAAGCAAACTCGTTATATAATGGCATTACAATATATGCAAAGGTTTGGCAACCAAAGAGAGATATAATGCCGAAGGCTTTTCCTGTGTTAGTCAAGATTAAATCGTGCAAAATTAGACTATATTGTGTATTATTCATGGTAGAATAAAAAACAGAGAACACAACTTTATGCTGTGCTTTTTTTGTTTCAATAAAATACAGTAGATATATTTTTAGACATGGAAATAAGTGACTAGTGTTTGTGATAATTTTGTATCTGCAAAACTTATTGCTATATAACATAATAATTGAAGAGTTTATTTAAAATTAAATCGGGAGAATAGATCGTTTAACAAAAAAAAGGCATATTTTTTGGGCTTTTCCAGAACCGACTCTGTGACATAAAATAAAAAATAACTCGACCTTTTTACATAAAACATGAATATTTTGGTGTACGCATATCCATTTCACGACTATAACAACAAAGCAGTACCTAAACAAGATCCGTAAAAAGAAAAAAAAACTATTTTCTCACTTGCAAATCTCTCTTTCTTACTGTACAAGAGTAAAAGAGGCAGATATCTTGTAGAATGATTGACACAATGTGCAAGCGAATGTAATGTAAACTGTTATTATACTGCTGATATCTCCATCTCGCCCGCATACAAGTTTTTACCCCATGAAATTATGTAGAGCGAGGAAACTACCAGAGTTGTTTAAAAATTATCTACTCATGAGCGTTTATTACGTTTAATTACTTACAAAAAAATATTAGGTACATCTTAATTAACTCAAGCTGAAAATTTATTGTAACAATATTAAGCTGCGTACAAACAGCGCGTTCCCTTTGTAATGCTAGATGACAAAGTTATAAAAAGTTGCCGTTTCGCCCGCGTTAGTTTTTTGGGAATCACACATTGTACCATAATTATAAGGATTTTTTTTTCATATTAAAGTATCCGATTATAAAACAAGCACAAAACACTCATAAAACAACATATAGTAATTGACATAAAAACTTACAATAGTAAAGAAAAGTTTTACTAGAAAAAAATCCATGGGGACCAGGCAGCGGACGGGACTCGAATCTTCACCCTTCGCAATCCGGAATGCACTGACCAATTATGCTACCACGGCCCTGATGGCCGCGTCGAAATTTTCCTAGCCTTAAGCTGCAAGGCAGCGCCATCTCTTCGCATTGTAGGTAACCCACAAAGTCAAATGAATACTTTTTCAAGTATTAAACATTTGAAAGAAGAAATAGCAATTATAGTTATGTTTTTTATTTTATTTTTAAGCATTTAACTGCTAGATGTATAAATCTAAAGAAAAGTTTACTAGAAAAAAATCCACGCGGACCAGGCAGCGAACGGGACTCGAACCCGCATCCTTCGCAATCCGGGCGAATGCACTGACCATTATGCTACCACGGCCCTATTAGCCACGTCGAAATTTTCCTAGCCTTAAGCTGCAAGGCAGCGCCATCTCTTCGCATTGTAGGTAACCCACAATGTCAAATGAATACTTTTTCAAGTATTAAACATTTGAAAGATGTAATAGCAATTATAGTTATGTTTTTATTTTATTTTTAAGCATTTAACTGCTAGATGTTTGAATCTAAAGAAAAGTTTTAATAGATTCTTTTTTCTAGTAAAACTTACAACAGATAATACTTGCGAACACACACTATTTTGTAATTAAGATGATTTTTATAAAAAAAATTGTACATGAGTAGCAGTATGACTGAATATTTTTTATAGTGATTGCATTGTAAAGAGCTGTGATTTTTGTAAATGCATAAGTAAATAATATATTAAACAAAATTATCCGCCATGTCCAGTTAATAATAGGTCTATGTAGAACAAAACTCTTTGTAAATTCACATCATAAGCGGTCCGGTTATTGTTTTAGAACTAAAAGAAACATCGCACGTTGTAAAAATATAAACGATTTCGTGTCAAGATTATATCAAGGCAGTGTTTAACTAAAATGCTATGTTTAAACATTGTGTTGCTAAGCGACTGATGGCTGAGTGACAAAAATGTCTGCTAGATGAATTTGTTGTATATTCCATTTGCGTGTTTTCGACTAAGATCGTTTGCAACTTAATTATAATCTGTAGCTAAAATACAATTTTTGCAACGACACGGTAAATACATTTGTTTTTATATTATTATCTGATAAAAAAGTTTAAGGCTAAACTAATTGAGGTTTACATTCTAAAAGACGGTTTCTATTGTGAAATGTATTTTGAATTATATGCGTGTACAACACGAACCCATAGCGTAATCGTAGCGTAAAGATACTAACATAATATTAAAAATAAATACAGTCTTAATATAAAGTAGTTATTTCCGACAGCAAACAAAGTGTTTCTTTTGTTATTAAATAAATAGCTAGATTTCCTTTTTTTTGTCAGCTTAAAATAAACGCTACAAAAATATTTCCGTCAGTAGAATTTCTTGATGCGTTGATGTCTTTTGCATGAAATTGTCCATTTTGATGTTTTATATTCAAATTGCAATTTAAATGGAATGCTGCCAAAAACGCATTATGCAGTGTTAGTAGGTAATATTTCCGGAACTCAATGAGGTTTGCGGAGTAGGGTGTAAGCCAGCTAGATAGTTCTTAGATAAAATAAAAAAAAGGTGAATAGGTGCTTAACTTATTCTAGGGCATTAACCATCTTCAGCATTATATTCTTAACTTTGAGTTAGAAGAAATTCTTTATTAATCCCAAACTCAAAATATCTTTATTCAACTTGGATGCAATGTACAACTCTTTTGAATCGTCCTAAATTGTTGTCCCTACCACGTTATTTAACATATTTTATAGCTGCGGGCTATTAGGGCTATTAAGGGCTATTTTAAAAAATATAACAACGGGAGGTGTTTGCTTTTGTAGATTCAAATAAGTTTGAAAATTATAATAAAATATTATAATCCCATGAAAAGGCAAATAGCTACGTTGCTTCGTCCAGCAAATGTACATTTATTTTACGCATTATGTCTTTGAAGGAATTTATTAGGTATGTGCCGTTGACTATATTTAAAACATATAATTTATGATGCCCGTTCCTTATATTACTTATATCATTATAGTGATTAATATGGTATACCAAGGTGTTATGTTCAGTGACGTCATCGCCTCAGCCTACGTTACGCCTCCGTGCCTCATTTTTTTTTCTACATCTACCCATATTAGTAGCACTTGCAGAATTCACAATAATATTTAACGTGCAGTAATTAAAATATATCATGAACGTTTGGACTCATCACACGACCGTAAAAGCTCTTTTGACTGTTAACAGATTGTAGTACCTGGTCGACCGCTTTGCTACGAATTTTTTATTGCGTTTCTACAAGAAATATAAATCTCACATAAAACATTTTCATGTAAAATGTTGCCAAGACGAGATCAGATATGATTCGTACTGTTTTAAAATTATCAGATCTCAATAGAAAAGTCAAGCTTCTAACTCGGCACGTCCTAACTCTACAAGGCCTAACTTCACAAAGTCTACACCTGAGTCAAAATAAGTAGCTTGACCATTTTCATGTAAATTATCCACTGTTCATTACTTTTCTGTTACAATAGTTCTTGTAGTAACGAGGGTTCATACAAAAGCTCCCTCCGTCACAGAAACCCCGCGCACGTAATTTTGTATGAAACCGCGCGGACGTCCGCTAATTGCAGTTTCGGGGATTATTGCTTAGGATTACTTCAAACTAAACACAAAGTCTCTATAAACTGTCAGTTGTAAACTAAGAATAGGTATAAGGTTGACTGAACTGTTACTATTTCTTACCGCATCGGCTCCCTTTTCGAATGAATTCCATTCACAATAGAGTGGTGGTCAAATTTACTGTGCCTTGAATAGACTTTAAAATATTTTAGTTTAGTTCGAAATCAAAAGAAAGAGTTTACCAGTTTATCACCTACGTGAGTTTCAGAAGTTCTTCGATCCTTATAATAAAGGCTTTTAATATTTGCGAACTAAGTAAGCAGTTGATAATACCTATTAAGTTTTATTGCTTTCGCCCCGCAATCGTGACACAGATAAAGCAAATATAGTAACATTGGTGCCGATTCTGGCGTGATTCTCTAAACTTAAAACTAAATTTAACATCAGTCTGTCCTTTTCATTCTGTATAGAGAATGACAAGGATATACTGCTGTCAAATTTAAGTTTAGGTTTAGAGAATCATGCTAGAATCGACACCATTACCTGCATACATTTATTTTATATTCATGACTTTATTAGAAATAACAACGTTAATAGAAACCGGTTTCACCATGCCTTCGTCGAAACTATAATGATATTAGATAGCATCGCATAAAGTGATTGAGATAATAATAATCGTGTCAATACTAAGCTACCTACTTCCAGATTTTATGGGGAAAACTTTACCCTAAAATTTCCTTTTTGTTACAGCTCATTCTGTGTTTTTGCAAGTGAAAAAAGTGTAAGTTTCCCTAGGAATTGGGTAATGGTAATACAAATTACATTTAATTTAATTATCAGGTAAAACCTATTGCAACTTGAAGCATTTATTTTGCGATATTACATAATATCAAAAACAATAGCGGTTACACCCCACCCAGGTACAATACAAATCTGGGACCTCGAGAAAGGCGAAAAGCAAGTGGAAGATTCAGAATATTCTTTGTTTGTTTACTGGTGTGTTTTTTTATGTTAAAATGTTTCAGTGCAGAAACTTCAAACAAGTTTCAAAAGTTTGGCTTTGTTGTGGAACGCAAAATAGAAAAATACACATTGAAGTAAAAATAAATATGATTATATTGAGAAACCTGTCGTTTCTGTTCAAATATTAATAAAGCTACATCTTATTCATTTGTATTAATTAATAAACTTACCGACTATATGGTCCCTTCCGGCTTTTAGGTGACAGAAACTAAAAAGTAAAAGAACAAAACACAAGCAGCACTGATCACAAAACGAGATCTAAAAACAATCGCTCTAAAAGATAACACTGGATCAATTTCCTTGGTCACTTGGATAAACTTACACGTCGTTTACACTGGGCGCCTTCGCCAAAATACTAATTTGTAATTTAAAAAGTTGAAAAAACACTATACCACAGTATTGGCGCGCAGTCTGACAGGGGAAACAAAATGGCGTTAAGCAGCCGCTCTCCTCAAGATCTCGAGGTCGACTGAATGAGTTAAATTGGCGAGTGAGAGAACCTATTACGTAGTCCAAAGCCTTTACTGCAAATAATAATTCGTAGGAGGCCGAACGCCAGCAAGGAAAACAACTTGTTTTTAATCTAATATCGAGTGTGGTATTTGACAAATCAAGATGGCGACTGTTACAGTTATTTGTCATAATAATGCAAGAAGTTTTCGCTGTTTACTTTCTGATGTGAATTAATACTTAAAAATACAATGTTTAAGTAAATATCAGAATGATATACTTAACCTAGTACTTATTCAAACTTCTTGCTATTTGTTTTTTGATATTGACCTTGGAACCTAAGCTTAGAAAGCTCTACTCTATCTAACACAAGTAAAAGCTATCTGAAAAATAGGCAATGAATGGCGAATGGGCCATGCGCCGATGCGGTCACCATACTTTCCAAGCACTTGAGGTACCAGGGTATACTCGCACAATGCCTACATGTCGGCATTGAGCCCATCCCCTACCACGTGGAACCCTAGAACCTTACTCATGGACAGAAAGACAAGATCATCAAAAGGCAGTGCTATTCACTGTGTTTTGTACTGTGGAAAATATCAGTAGTCATTGTCACCTAAATCAGCCGATCTGCTCTACAAGGCTCTCTTCCCAAAAATAATCGACAGCACAATTCTATGATGTAGCTAATAACTAAGTAAGTCTGATTGCTTCTAAAGCTTCTATAATTGAAATCAGAAATATCGTTATCACCTAGTTTCGAGACAATATAAAAAGTTTTACTCGGATTCGGCCAAGTGCCAAAATCGAAACAAAGAATTTAAAAATCAGAGGAAAACATTAACAATAATGTTTATGAGGATCTCACGTTATTATAACTACGTTTTATTTTATATTTTTAAACTGTCACTTGTTCCTTTATTGTGAATTTGGCAACCCAATTAATTTGCTATGCTGAAACAGATTATTTGTTTCTTTGCATTATTTTGAAAAGTGGCATACATCATCCTGAAGCAGGCGATCCAAATCAAGCGAGAAATCAGCTGTCTCTAGATCGTAAACGGAATGAGTTGAAAGGACAATGTAAAAATTGGCCTAAGAACCAACACCAATTTGGCATTTATGATAATTCTTAGTATATTTTTTGCGATAATTATCAGTATTTAGATTGTGACGGACACTTCCAGTTAAGTAAGCTAAATTAAAAAGTTAAAAAATAATCTGAGACAATAAATACCACTTTATGTGTATAATTTTTGGCAGCGCTGCAAACAGAACACTCTTTCTTCCTAATGCCGGCACTTCACTTGGCTATTCGTATTTGATATTTTAAAACATGACATCAGTCTGTCCTTTTCATTCCTTATTAAGCATGACAAGGACAAATTGTTGTCAAGTGAAGGGCCGGCATAAAACTTGATACTCTGTGGTTGTGGTGCATGCAGTTTGCATTCGTAGTAATCTGTGGCATTCGTGCATTCCAAAGAGTAGTTTAAATACCGGAAAGTGCATTCTCGTTTCGGATTACTTGTTGTGTGTGTTTATTTGCGATTGTTTTTCCCCATTTCGGCTATCTAATATGCCATCGATGTTACCAAAGAGCAGAGCCCTTATTACCAAGTGCTAGTGAACCTGTGCCACAACATCCTGAGAGGATCATACTGCCAAATTATTCAAGAACACCTGATACACATTCACACTGCATATTTACACAATATACATGTCATATCGACCCTTCCAGGATGAAACGTAGTAAAAGCCAAAACGATATTTTTCAATACGGCCAAAAAACAAAAACGGTGAAGTTTGTTTCCCGTATATTTGTTGATTTGCTTAATTTATAATAAACCACTATAACTCATTAAGCTTAGGTTTTCGGGTTGCTTACTAATAAGAAACTCGGAATAGCCTACATTCATTAGTTCCAGAGATGGCATGGCTTTTACTACAAAAAAATAAGTTGTAAATGGTTTCTACGACATTTTATTTCTGCTTGGCAAATGTAATCTTTTTTCCTTGAAGTTGTATAAGACTTCATAAATTGTTTCATTAAAGGGATTTTTGAATTAAAAGACAATTGTAATAAGAATAAAGTTTAATTTAGTGAAGTAAATGCAACTAAGTGCGCGGCCTATTGCCCACCGCACCGCTTCCCGTCTGCTGCGGAAGGACTGCGCAGTTCCCCTCGCAGACCCTTCCGCGGCCCTCTCATGTAGGTTAGGTACAAAAGATAGCTGACGCCACGGAAGCCATCGGTGGCTGGCACGGCTAACGCCATGCCGGGCAGCAAGTGATTCAATTAGATAGGGTCACTGCACGTGCGCAGCCAGGGCACACCTTCGCCTTCCCGTGCCTGTTCTTTTGCGGTGGCAGGGGACGGCCAGAGGATTGTCCTCTTGTCCCATCTCGGCCTCCTCCTACTTTGAGATGACGTCATCACAGAGAGAGGCGACTCCTTCCAAGCCGTCTCACTACTGTGCATAGCCTCGACCATGCTCGGCAGCGAGAGAGAGAACCTACTGTCCTAGGTAAACAATTCAACACGACACTGCTATTGAAAACACGAATTTTGGGGCCCACAACTAAAGCCAACAAGCCGTATTTACGTCTAAGTAACGTCCAGAACTTCGTTTACATAGAATATTGGTTTCTTCTATCAACTTACATCCTTTATTTTTTCACTCCTTGTAATAAAAAAAACTGTGATTAATCGAAGCCTTTTCCGAAGTCCCTAGTATGTCTACATCAAAATTGTTAGTAGTATCGTGTCTTTTACTACAAAATTTTCAATAGTATTATTTTCCAGTACTGTATTATATATGTTGTATTGACCGTGGAATGAGAAAATATGTCTCTTACTACATAAATTTGAAAAAAGTATTTCCAAAATTGCTCATTATGACATTTTACAAGAAGAAAAATGGGTTTAGGGCATTAATTGGAGCGTGTTGTAAAAGACATTTTTTCGCGAATTTGAACATTTTAAATATACAGATCGATAGAGCTCGCGATTCTGATAAAGAAACCGTTAAAAACAGATTTTGGGTAAAATGGCTTTTACGACGTTTCATCCTGGAAGGGTCGATATACAAATAAATACAATAAACAATATGATACAATTGTGTGAAAAATAGTCAATAAATAAGAAGCAAAACTACAGTTTTTATTTTATTCATGATTCCTACCTTACCAAGTTTTTCCTAATAGTTACTCTTTAAATTGCACCGAATAAAATGAATTAGTTGTAATAGGTTGACCTATGTTTCATTAAATATTAAACATAACCTCAAAAAATGTTTAGTTTTCCTAATAACTTAAGTTCTCAGAAGTGTCCGTCAAGAATCTTTGTTTTTACAGTCATTTAATTACGATTTTGAACCTAGAAAATAATATTTCATGATTGTTGGTTCTTAGGCTAACTATGTATGGACGCTGAACAATGTCCTTTCGATAATATACGTATAATGTTTGCTCAAAGCCAAATATTCAGTTAAAAAATTCAATTAAACTCGGAACGGAAAACATTTGCTCGGAAATGCATTTATGGAGGAGGTTGCATATATTGTTCGAAACTTCAAAATTATGGGCTATATAACGGAGCATGTGGTAAAACAATTTACCGCGCGCTCCCTTATGTGGTACCGTGCGTATCCTTTACGGTTTTTTTTATTTCATTCGAACTTCCTTGGAAGTAATTTTAATCTATACTTTTGTCTTACTTTATAACTTAAATGTAAAAGAGATTAAAGATGTAGTTCTTATTTTCACCACCCGCGAAAGGCGCCATTTGGGAAAGCGCGCCAATTTCTTATTGGAAAAAGTTCAGTTCATTTCTTGAATTAGGTATAGGTACTGTTTTCTCGCAAATGTGTTGAAAAACAAATAAATTACGGAATTGGTATTTACAAACATGTGACTATGGTAAACCCGAGACGAATCGTTTGTAATCATCAACTTATCTCTCTAATAACATAAATAATTATTTCACATAGTGTACGCATATGAAAACATACACACATCAAAAAAGGTTTGAGATCACTTGCAAAAGCTGATATATAAGTTCAAAATCCAACTTAATCAAGAAAAAGTTCACGTTATATATTTTTTTTATTAAAAATACACTTTCTGTAATTAAAAAATTAAAACTATTTTTATTTCTTAGTATAAAAAAATTAATAATTCAATCCTAAGGCGATTGTAATAGAACTTTGATAGAAATAAAAAGATAAGTACCTAGTTTAAGCCAACTTAAAAACCTTTTATTAATAAATAAATTATTGTTTATCTAATACAAAATAATCCTCCTCTGGCTCGAACACATGCGGAGATCCTCCTGGGCATGCTGAGGATCAAGTTATCCATTTCTTGTGGTAACCTGTCCCATTCTTGAGCAGCAGCTTCCCAGAGCTGCGGCCTTGTCTGCGGTGGTGGCTGCCGGTTCCAAACAGCTCGCTTAAGAGCATCCCACGCGTGCTCTATCGGGTTTAAGTGAGGAGAGCTAGCAGGCCAGTCCAACCTTGTGATTTCGTAATCTCGGAGAGCAGCATTGAGTCGTTGAGCTCGATGTGCGGGCGCATTATCGTCAACCAATAAAAAATCCGTTGTGCCGAACCTCTCTTAAAACTTACTCTCTTGTAAAAACGACAGCAAACAAGCACAAGAGCTGTCTAATGATAAGCGGCCGCCATATCTTCGTACTTCGAAATCTTAGAATTCTTTCTACACTATATTCAATCAATAATGATCCATGTGCTCCTGGATCTTTGAAATGTAAATTTCAATATCAGTCGTCAATTTCTAGGCAAAATTTTAGATTCTAAAGAGTATTATGTTAACTTGATACCCTATTGCGCATTCGGAATAATACAAGTTTAAAGTTTTATTTAAAATAATACCATCTGGCCTGTACAATTTAATTTAATATGTTATTTTCAACGAAATTATTTTAAAATGATACTTTATAGCTCCCGATTTGCTTGAGATAATCTTATACTGCTTGTCAATTTTATTCTGCAGTTGGGGGTTTTAAGTTCAATATACTACCTTTTAAGCAAAACATAACTTCTGTACTTGATAATATTAACATAAAAATTTCATACACTCCTTTGCAAAAGAAAATGGGCACCTTAGGAAATTTACATTGTAAGTTCGATTTCAGTTAATTAAATGAAATTTAATTGTTTAACGTAGTCTTTATACTTATAATCGTCTAAATTAATACACGTGAATCCCAGACAAGCTCAATTGGATTGAGGTCAGGACTTTTCGCTGGCCAATCAAAACGACGGATACCAACTTCTTGCATGTACGCTTCCACGTCGCCAAAACGATACGCAGAGCATTGTCGTCCATAAAAGTGGAACCTTCCTCAAGCGCAGTCTGTGCGGACTGTGCAAATGGAACCAGGACTTCCTTTATGTACCGGTGTGCATTTAATGTTCTATTTTCTATGAAAAGTTACTCCATACGCTCCGTCGAATTAATTGCTGCCCAAAACATAACGGAGCCTTCGCCATAAGGGGTGTATTTCTTCGAAACACGCTTTCGCACAGCGTTCTTGTGGTCTTCGCAGCACTCGCTGGCGTTGGTCCTCTCCACAAAAAGAGATTCGAGCTTCATCAGAAAACAATACTTTATCTCAGTCCTCCAGAGACCATGAAGCACAGTTTCGAGCAAACTGAAGTCAGGCAACACGGTGCTCACAAAGTAATTTAGGGTCCCGGGCTGGGAGGTAACTCCTGATATGGGTCAAAAGCCTCCTCCTGACGGCCCACAAGTTAACTTCTTCTCCTCATACTTCTTCAATGCTCTTCTTTAGGTCTACACTTGACGCCTTACAATTCAGCAACGCTTGACTTACCAAAAAGCGTTTATCCCTTGGTTTGGTGCATCGTTTTTGACGTGACAACGTCTTAAATTAGGTTGCGGCTGGGAGTCACTTATGAAAAAGTGTAACGCTCGGTAACGTTACGATGAGTCTCTCGTGTTAAGTTTAAGTTTACATGTACAATGTTTTAGTAAACAAAATATATTTCTATAGTTAAAATTTGTGCAATTCTTATTTTCATTCAATTCCTTGTTCCTATTGTGCAATTTAATTATATTCATATCAATAAATATTCTACCGAGAAAAAGACGTTGTCACGTAAAATCTTCGCCCGTAAAACCGACTTTACAGGCAACCATTTTTTTTTTCAACTGAAACTCGTCTGAAACACGTCAGTTTGAGAACAACCTTCTTCAAGTAGGGCAATAATTTTACTGGTCTTTATCGCTTTATCACTCATATCAGAAAGTGTTCAGTTCATACCTATTTAATGTAAAAATAAATATTTATTTATTAAATAATAGATACATTTGCAAACATAAAAACTACTTAATGTTTACACAATCCAAATTACCTTAACCTACTAAAATAATATGAAAATCTACAAAATGAAAAGAAAGATTATATTCTTTAATAATATATACAAAATTTTAGTAAAAAATCATTTCTACAATGAGCCATTGGTAAAGCAATTTTACGAAATCCACAATAATATTTATTTTTCTTTTATTAATATCAAAATTTTAATTTGGAACGTATATAATAATGCCAGGATGCTTCAAATAACATGCCAATACATCGTCACATTAATTCAACCTCTTCCTTGTAATATTCACTAAAGTAGAGAAAAAAAACTAAAGTGCCCATTTTTGTCCAAAGCAGTTATTACCCATTATCAATATGTTAAAGTACATTTTGGTCAAGCAATAGGGATGAGCGATCCGATTTTTCGGATCGTAATGGACCGTAATGCCACGATCCGATCCGCGGATCGGATCGCGGGGGCGTCGACCCGATCTTCAAGAAATCGGATCGGATCGGATACAAATGAGTAAGACAATTAATTTTAGATTTTTTTTGGTAAACCCTTCAAAGTATGTAAAACTTGTGAACAAACAAGATTGCTCTATGTAAAATTTACATACAAATAAGTACTTAGTTTCGAAAGAAACACAATGTGAAATAGTAATTTCTGGTTCATGCTCAAACAATCGAGTTAATAGGACTTTTTTACGCTTAATTTAGTATTTGAGTTGTAAAAAAGTCAAATGTCCAAGAACTTTGATTGCTCATAAATAATAATAATGAACATCTATCCTTGACTTGTTGTTTTTGCAAGAAATAGATTTAGTGGTATATATATAAATTTACCCACAACTTTTGTTTAGAATAATATAATGTATAAGATTAACGGATCCACCTGCAAAGAATGCCGCGAAGTTAATGTAAACAATGATAAAGTTCGTAGCAGAAGCCTTAATAAGTACCTACCCAACTTATTGTAAACAAACCACGTTTTAATTCATACGATCCAAGCGATCCGATCTTTCAAGTTTCGTATGAAAATCAACGGATCGTATGCCTTCCGATCCGATCTTTCAAAGGATCGGATAGAATCGGCGCATCCCTATCAAGCAAGATAGTCGTAATTTTAAAATCTGAGCTATTTGAACTTCTTATATTATTATCTTTACCCAGTCACATAAAAGTACTTTTAAAATAAAAACTACTATTGATACACTAACAAAACTTACTCAGAACAAAGAAGGATAATGAACGTTTAAATCAAGGCGTTTTTAAACATTTGAGCAAGTAGTTCCTCTTCTATGATTTTTTAAAACTTTAAAACGCGATATATAAAAACACTGTTTTTGAAGATAATACCCTTATGTTTGTGACGTGGGATATGCAGCTGCGACGTGGTTGTTGACAATGGGCCTCATAAGAAGGCTCAGGGAGTGAGTTAATCCGTAGAAGAACAGACTAACCGACATAGCTAAACAGATCGCGATCCTGAAGTGGCAACGGGTGGGGCTCATTGTTCGGCGAACCGGTGGACGTTGGAGTCGAAGGTGCTTCAATGGCGACCTCACAATTGGGAAGTGCAGTGTCGGTAGACCCTTCAGGTGGACTGACGACATCAAACGAGTTGTTAGGACCCACAGGATGCTGAAAGCACGGGATCGTAGTGTTTAGAAATCCCCTGTCCAGCAGTGGACATCCATCGGCTGATTATGATAATGATATGATGTTAATTACAAAACAATGGAATCTAAGAATATTTACTTCCCAAGCGTGCGCTTTGTAAATTTTCGGGGGACTAATAATGTTCGCACACCGTGTGCGTAGAGTCCGTGGCAAGTTCTCGGCGGAAATATTTTTTTACGATTCAGGGACTTTTGTCCTCCGCTGATAAAAGTCGCCCGTCTATGCAGGCCAAATACAGTGTACTTGCACTATGCCTACCCTTGACGAACCCTGCACCTTTCCATGCCCGGTAGATCTCTGGAAACCTAATTAATTCACTGCAGAGACACAACACTAGAGTATAAAAAGTGTAATTTGGCACTTTTGGCAGCAGTCATCTATAAGGTTATGGCTGTGAGTGAAGGAGCTCCAATGCGAACGACAACTCTGATAATGCTTTACTTTTCATAACTTATGGCTTGCCTAAAGTGGCTGCTTGTATACTTACTTAATAAATTCAGTTATCGCTAGTACTGAACTTTTATTCTAAATACGGTAAATACCCGCAGTGCAGCTTAACAAATGTGCCAGCCAGACATAAGCGCCAGTGAGTTTTACTTTTCGACAGTACACATAGCACCATCTATTGACATCATCGTACAACTTTGCCACGCCATCTAGCGATGTTTGAACAACCTACTGACATATTTTGACTGAAATGAAAGTTGGTACAAACCGCCGCACTCTTTTAACATTATTATGCTGCAAATTTACGAAGAAACCAGACTCGTAGCGATCCAAAGCCTATCCCCAAACATTTCACTAAATAAGCTTACATGTATTATTAAACGCATTGACATTTTATACAAAATAAGTGTGACCTGTTTTTATCCCTAAAATGTGACCTTTCAGACCTACTTTTGTGAATATTTTATTTATAGAGTTTTAAAATTAGTGATGAGCAGTGCAATAAGCAATTAAAGTACCTAGATACTATATTTATATTAAATATAGCAGTGATATACAAACTTTAATTAAATAAAGAATACACATAATATATTTTACCTATTTTTTATTAAATTATTTGTGAATTATAGCTGTTATATTTGAAGGATTTCTAAAATCTATTTTTATTACATACTAGTTTTATTAGGTATCTTTATGACATTATATGTAATTTAGTTAACATATTTAGTTAATCAGAAGAACAAAATGTCTTTTGTAAAATGCTGTTTTGAAGCAGGAGAGGGCCATGACTTTTTGGACACATTTGTACAAAAATGTACAGATCCCGGATGTAAGTAGCTAAACATAATGCTATGATTATTATTTTTGCATTTATTCACAAAAAATATTTATGATTTCTCAATCTTGATATCGATAGTTTTGTTGCGATCCCCATGCAAACAATTAATTTTCATTCGCTGGCTTGAATTTTATTCTTCGGTCGTCTGCGTATAATTTATTGATTTTTTAAATTAAATCTACCGCGCTGCGCCGTCACTGGCCGGAAGTAGTCAATTTCCGGGGTTTGATTTTGCGTTTTATTTTATCTAATATTTCCAGAAATCAACCGAAATAAACAATAATCATCAAAAGATTATATATTTTCTAGAAAAGCTTAACTAAACAGAAAATTATAAACTAAAATAGTGTTTCATATTATACTGAGCGTTTAACTTTAAATAATATTTGATGATTGTGATGACTGACAACTTGGTGAAGTTATGAGAAAATGAGCAAAGCCAAACAAAACGCAACATTCTAATTGCAATGACAAGTTACGGCTCTGCTATGATTAATTTCATTACGTAGGTGGATTGTTTTCATTAAAGTTAATAATAATATCAGAATTGAATTGCACCGGCAATAATGGCTCAAGGTATGTTAAAACAATTTCGATAGTCTCTTTAAATAGCTTCCATCCGAGAAAACATTGTTTATGTTGACATATGGTTTTCCTTGTGGCGCCATCTTGACAGAGCTGTCATTTTCACAGCGTTGTCGATTTTACAGTACACTACTGTCGTGGTTTTTATTTTATTTTATTATTTTGAGTTGAAATACCGTTGTGAAACTATGTAATAAAATCATAAAAGTGCAGTCTAAAATAGTTAACTATAGTCAGATTGTAAAATTCAGTGAACAAACGAATTTAGTGTTAATCTATCTGGTAGCATCATGTCGACAACGACAATACAAAATCAAGCCAAGACTGGGAATGCTACCCCGGCAAAGCCGCAAAAGAACTATGGAAAGATTGTGTTAACTTTGTACAACTGTCTTCTACCAGAATCGGCCTTCAAAGAAACGCCATCACAGGCCGACGGCCTTGATATAGAAACTGAGACTGATTTACGTATCTTAGGATGTGAACTTATTCAAACAGCTGGAATCTTGCTCAAACTACCTCAGGTTGCAATGGCTACAGGTCAGATATACTTGCAAAGGTTTTATTACTCAAAATCCTTTGTAAGATACCCTATGGAAGCAATGGCTATGGGTAGCATTTACTTAGCTTCAAAGGTAGAGGAGAAACCATGTAGAATAAGAGATGTCATTAATGTTTTCCACCACATCAAGCAAGTCAGGGCACAGAGGACTATAACACCCTTAATAGTTGATCAGAACTACATAGAATTGAAAAACCAAGTTATAAAAGCAGAGAGACGTATTCTGAAAGAACTAGGATTTTGTGTTCATGTGAAACATCCCCATAAACTCATAGTAGTTTACTTACAACTTTTGCAATATGAGAAGAACCGCCAGCTAATGCAAATGTCATGGAATTACATGAATGATGCACTACGGACTGATGTTTTCATGCGTTTTCCACCAGAAACTATTGCTTGTGCTTGTATATATTTGACGGCACGAAAAATTGGGTTACCACTTCCAAATAGTCCACATTGGTTCTTGTTGTTTAAAGTCACTGAAGAAGATATCAAAGAGGTGTGTAATAGAATATTACAACTTTATAAAAGGGCTAAAGTAAATCCTGAAGAGTTAGATAGTAAAGTTGATGCACTGAGGAAAGTTTATCAAGCAAATAAGATAGCTCAGAGTCAGAAAGATCAAGAACTAGCTAAGGCAAATGAAAAGAAGGCAGAATCTCCTGCAGCATCAACATCAAAAGACACAAGGAGAGATTCTAAAAAAGAAAAGTCACCTAAAACTCCACCACTATCTTCCAAGTACCACAGTAGTAGTCATAAATCAAAAAAAGACAGGCGTTCACGCTCACCTTATGACAGAAAACGTGAATATTCAAGTAAGAGGCACAAAAGCCGCTCACGTGACCGTGATGTTGATCGTTCAAGAGAGAGAAGATCTGATGACAAACGCAGCCGTGGATCATCTAGGAAGTATGATGATTATGATCGGTCAAAGTCCAGTAGGGATGGTAGAGATGATAAGAGAAAACATTAATTATAATGAAGTCATTTTAATACTAAGTAATAAAAATATTATAATAAAAATGCTTATTATTGCCCCTATGCCTTTTATGTACCTATAATATTAAATAAAGATATATGTATTGAAAAATGATATAAAATGTTGAGATTATCGACATTTTCAATTCAATGGGCCTTTTCACACTGCTGTTTAAAAATATGATAAAAGGCTTTTTATAATAAGCAGTTTTTTTTATTTGAGGAACAATAGGAATAAAGCAGCTTTTTAAATTATTTTACATATAAATCTTTGACTTCTATAGTCAAGGAAGGGGTGAGAAAGGCAGGTTTCAGTTTCTAAAGTTTAGTTGGTATATGTGTAAAATAAACTTTTCTATACCTATAATGTCTCCAATTTTCATATATACTATTAATTTAATAAAAGGTTAGATACCTTTAAAGTTTCAAATGAAATCAAATATACATCTCAATAGTATAATAAATATATATAAGAATTCGAAATTAGCTATCTCTTTGTCTTTTCACACATAAACTGCTACACCGATTTTAATGAATTTTAATATGAAAGTAAATGGGACCTTGAAGAAGGTGGGCTACTTTTTGGCACCAAAATAAATTTTAAAATGATAGATTATATGGTAAAATTGATCATTATCATTAGCCTATAACTTTTCCCATCTGCTGATTCACAGGCCTTCTCTATGGATGTAATAGGGAGATAAAGCCATGGCCCAGCATGGATAACAATTGCAAATGCAGCCGGGACCAAAAGGTTAACGTGCCTTTCAAGGCATTTGAAGAGTTCGGGATAAGTTTTTGGTCACCCATCTGACCAGCCATTGCGAAGGTTGCTTAACTTCCACGATCGCAAGCCGAACGCACTAACCACCATCGCCATCGATCGTTGAAGTTAAGCAACTTTAGCAACGGTCGGTCATTGGATGGGTGACCAAATATTTATTATCTCAAGCTCCTCCATGCTTCAGAATGCACGTTAAGCCATTGCATCGTTAGCACTAATCCGCACTGGGCCCATGTTTTTGGTCATGGCCCAATCTTCCTGTTCCGTCCATAGGGTACGCCTGTACACCAACCGTGGGATATTGGGGAAATTAATAGGCTGATGATGATGATAACACACATGTATACTTATATTCCGGAAGTTCATTTTTATATGACTGTTTGTGATTTAATTCTATATTAACCACTTACACTTTTCATTTCAATCTTACGTTTGTATGGATCTTTGTTACTCTTTCACTCAAAAAATACTAAATGAATTTTAATGAAACTTAATAATAATATAGCTCATACATAATAATTTATGAAGTTATTGAGTGAAAGTGCCACATAAGACGGAAAAAAATCTCCCATCTGCGTGCTATTTTGCCTGCGAAGTGCAAGCCAAGATGCTATTTTAACAGTCTCGGAACCCATTATTAAAAAAACAATTCTTGAATATCTAATTGATCCCGTCTGTTAAAGTATCCTTACTTAACAGAGTTATATAGGCTACTGAACATGTTTTCTTTCTTTTTATTTTCAGTGTTGACATACTTATTTATTGATTGTCACACAAAGTTTCCTTTCCAGAGATCAGAGAGTTTATATTTGAAATGCTTGTTTATAAATAACCCAGTGACCTGTGTCTCGCGGTACCTTTCGGTTGGGTTTGTTTGTAATACGTTTCGTTTACGTATCTGCCTATATAATAATCAATGTGCAAAACGATATAAACAAAATAATTGTGGTAGTATTAAGAGAGATGTTTAAGTGATAAAATACTATATACCTAGGTATACTTATTTTTTGGTATTTTACAATTGGGCACCTATCAAATATTAAGAGACGTTAGGAGAACCTTGAAAATGCGTTATTGTCACTGACTATGGTTCTTTGTTAATTTCACCATCATCAAAAGGAAATCATCATTTAACAATGGAAAAAGCTATTGTGGGTGATAGACTAGCAACATCTTTGACAAATGCTTTGTTAAATGTTTTTCCACAATTAAGGCTCTGAGTTATTTGTATTTTAAGCCGTTTTTATTTAATTGAGTTTTTTCTCAATATGTTGACGTTCTATTTGTCAAATATAAATTATTATGAAAGAAACTAATAAATATTGCGGAATGTTAATTTTTTATAAAAATATATTAAATTAGGTACTATTTTTGATAATTAACTAATAAGCAAAAGGTATTTCTTACCTGGAAACTTTAACTTTAATTAGTTTCTAAATAGGTGATTAATGTGAGTTAGAAATGGTTACCTAAGTACCTACTCACATACATACTCTCAGCTTTAAATTGTCGCTTATCAATGGTAAACTTATTTTAAGGCTTGAGTATGTCTTATTGTTTGCTAGATAATTAGTTAATTACATATATAAGAGAAACAGTTTTTAATAAATGATTTATTTCAGTTCTATTGTGGAAGAAATCATAAATAGTAAAATTTTGATATACTGTACTTAGGTATATTTTAGTAAACCTCAATACTTATCAGGAAATCATATAAGTATCTTAATCAGCTGCCGTTTAAGCATACTTTTATAAGCATTATTATAATCCCATTTTGTTGCCTTTAAATATGTGTATCCTACATAATCAAATTATAGACAGGATGTTCCGAATATGAAGTAGATTAAAAATGAAAAGAGAAAATAATCTGTCTTTATAAAATTCGCGGTGTTCCGTTTATCTTCGTTATCATGTAGTTCCAATAGATATATGTGAGCCGTGTCGCGTAATATTAAGTCATTTGTTATCTTTACAACGAGTCGCCCCGTCCGCACATGAGTAAGGCGCCTTACTAACTGGATCCATGCGAGCTCCTTTCGTTTTCGATTCTGTACCGAATCCGTACAGATTTTTTACCGAGAACATGTAATTAATTATATGGGCGCTTCCTTACTGAGTCCTTTCGGTACAGATTTTTTACCGAACGCATACACACCTCTCTGTATCGACTGCTACCGAATAACTCGACTCACCCTTCCGAAGTGACGGCAATATATCAAATGACAAACACCAAAACGATACCGCACCAACGATACTGTACAAACAAAACAAAACGATACCGCACCGAAACGGAGCCAGTCAAGAAGTGTTCTCAGTAAAGAATCTGTACAGATTCGGTACAGAAACGATAACGAGACGATACGATGAGGAAGGCGCCTAAAGAAGGCAGAGACGAAGTTTGTGTGAACGCGAAGTGGCGGCTTTTTTTGTATCAGGAGATATGCGTGACGCATACCCCGCCGCTACGTAGGGCGACGAGGTTATGTGGGACTCTTTAGCCCACCCATTCAGCCAACCGTAAGGCTTGCTCAACGGCTGCTCGGGATGGGGGGCCCTGCCCACTCAAAGTCTGGGATGTGCCTTCTCCTTGCCGGTGACGACGATGTTGTTGGGAATCAACCAAGCCGAGCAGAGAAATGTTTCTATTGGTGGAGACAGACCGCCAGTGCTCACACACTCACGTGCACTTCATTAAGCTTTGCCTCTATGCCTTCTTTACTCATTTGGTATTAATAAGTCATCTGTTATCTGAACAACGCGTAGCCGCGTCCGTCCGTCCGCCGCGTCGTCGGTCGTTCGCGAGCTCGACGTCAGTTGTGTAGTGAACACTTGATTACTAATATCATGTCTATAGATACGCTAGTCATATCCGTTAGATATGCAATAATAAATAATTTTTATCAAAATATGTTTATATGAGATGTAGTTACGAAATAAATAGTGTGTGTTATGTTTTTTGAAACTGTAAGTGAAAAGTGATTTTGATTCTCATCAGTTATAAGTTCAATAGTTTAGTTTTAAATAGGTGAATGATGAGGAAAATAGAGGTTTTCGTTTTGTAATATGTGTGCTGTTTTGGAATATGGGATATTATTATCTGTGAAACACTTGTGAAAATGTAGACGCGATAAGCAGATTTATTGACTGTTGCTTTCAATAATAAATTAAATAAAAGAAATGCTGCGGCTAAGGAAAGTAGCTCATCGTGCCTGTTTCTTCGTCAGTAGGACAGTTTATATGACATGTGAGTAGCTTTTACGAAAATTATTGGAAATTAATAATAATGTAAAGAAACTTTTTGAATTATTAAACTTTTTTGGAATGCATTAAATTTAAAAAGCTTGATTTTCGATACTTACTAGTTAATTTTTATACTTACCTTCCAAATTACTTTTAATAGAACTTTTATTTTAGGTCCGCTCGATACTTAAATCAGATCAGATATATCTCTATTCTTGTAGAAAATTGAAGTTAATTTTATAATAGTTGACTTCTAACGAAGGGCCTTTGGATGGGTTCGTTGTATGTACCACTACCACGAACTATAATTTTCACGAACTAGATACTTGCTGACAAATCGCAAATGTAAAATACATAAATGCTGGATCAGTTTTCTCTTCAGTTGAATACTGTAAATGTCAAAAAAGTTTGTGAATATGCCGGCTGGCGTGTGTATGTGTAACACATGTGTATTTAAGCGTATTGTGTGGGAAATATTTGTTTAGCATATTCGCAACCTCTCGGTGCGACACTGTCACTTATGCAAAAACAATTTTTTTTCAGGAGGAGCGTTTAAAACTTTAACTTCCCAAAACATACAATATTTAAAGATTTTTACGTGATGAAAAGCTTATACTGCTTAGTTATTCATCTAAAAAAATTAAAAAAAAAAAACTTTAAATATTGTATGTTTTGGGATGTTAAAGTTTTAAACGCTTCTCCTGAAAAAATGATTTTTTGAAGTGACAGTGTCGCACCGGAGTGCGATATGTTTATATAGGTCATCATACCAGAATCTACCGGCATGATTGTCTAAACCCAAAATTAAATTTGGCAACAGAGTATTCTTGTCATTCTCTATACAGAATGAAAAGGAGAGACTGATGTTAAATTTAGTTTTAAGTTTAAAGAATCATGTCGGAATCGACACCATCGAAGGTCTTAAGTACGTACCTACCCATTACCACCGATTACGATATTTCTATACTCCACGACCACATGTTTTTAAGTTTTAAAGTTATCCAGTCGAAAGCATTTATATTTATATAAAAACTGAATTTAGTAGTAGTATTATCTTAGTACGATTAGCTCATGACTAATGTTTTTTTAGCTGTTGGACTTGGAAGTCAATAGAATTAGAATGAGGTCTTACCAAATACGAATTTCTGTTCTGTTGCAAATGGCTGTTTATGTAAGCATAGAAAGGAATGGGAGAGCGACTAAAGGAAGCTTTAACGATTATCTTACTAAAACTCTTGTCAATTTGTCTTCAAAGGTAGATGATAATAATTTTAGTAAATTTAATGCTTCCCTGGTTTTGAAATTACTAAAATTAAGCTTAAGTTTAATGCCTCAATGTTCTCCTACTGTTTAATAGATTGATTAAAAAACGCCAACTCAAGGTCTTGATTAAAAATACTAGTAATTACCTAAAAAATCGTATTATCTACAATTAAAATTTAAATATTTGTATGTCTACGTGCACACTTTATAAAGAGTGTGTGTGTGTGTAGGTATACATATGCTGAAGTTTCTAATATCGCTGTCTGGCACTCGTAAATAGGTTTTATGTTTATAAATACATACTTATTGGCGATCTTTGACCTGTCTTTATACATATATGGAAGCGCTACAGTGTCTACCTACAGTCCTTCATTTTGAATCGTATATGGTATGTAATAGGTTAGCGCGACAGATCAAGGGGATAAACCCTCCTTTTTACATGACTGCCAAAAAAGAGTGTAATTTTGAAACTGTTAAAAATTAAATAACAACAATGGCAACATGAAAATTATTTATATCAAATAAAAAAACGTCTTAAACTTTATATAGTGAAAGTATAATTTGAAGGGTCTTAAGTAATGTGACCATCTCATACATATACAAATTACCTGTAAAACGAGACAAATACTAGAAAATACATTGATTACATCAAACACATTAAATTTTAAGTCACTAATATTTTTATAACATTAAATAATTAAAAACACGAATGCTGTTAAAAATTAAACTGAAAAGTAAAAAATAAGTTATAAGTTTCTAATAAGACGAAATGTTAGTACTTATTTTTTTTATATATATATATGTATAGTCGGGGGACTTTTACAGGTATCTTTTTATTAAAAAACACTCCCCCAACTGAATTAAAACAATATACTTACATTCCGTCGTATTCGCAATTAAATTTTTTTTTTTAACTTTCTAGTTATTTTAACGGATGTCGTGTTTTTAAAGTGTCAAAAAACGTTAAACTGAATTCAGACACATGTTATCTATTTATAGAACTATATTTATTTATATATTCCCTTCGAGTTGGTATTGCTTACCCACTCGTTTTAGAACGAGTGGAATGACATTGTAATGACATGTCATTAAAACAAAATTTTCCGTCCACACATGATGTTACCTACACTGCCGAATTTACTCGATCTATTGTAATCTTGGATATAAGAACCAAGTAAAGCCAAAATTTGAAAACAAAATTTTACAGTTTTGGGTAACCCAATTTGCACAACATAAATCACTTTATATTGTTTCAAACTTTCATGGTCACTAACATTATGTTAATTATTTTTATTTACGTGATTGCTACCATGTACCTTGTTTTTAGCGAGTCGCCGATATTTCAGCATTGTTGCAAGCGCCATGATCACGGACATTATAGTTATTCCGTGATCATGGCACTTGCAACAGTAGATACCGAAATATCGGGGCCTCGTTGAAAAAGGTACATGGTAGCAATCCCGTAAATAACATAAATTACTATAATAAATCACTTTTTTAAGCATGCTTATATTCTTCCAGGTTGCTGTGGCTGCTGCTCAGCTCTTCGTCCTCGGTACAAGCGGCTGGTGGACAACATCTTCCCAGCGTCCCCCCAAGATGGGTTGGTCAAGTCCAATATGGAGAAGCTCACGTTTTACTCGCTTTCCAGTCCAGAGAAGCTGGACAGGATCGGCGAGTATCTGTTCCAGAAAGCGTCCAGGGATATATATAGAAGGAGACATGGGTAAGCTATTTCTCTACCATTCTTTCCTCACATGAGAGGGAAATCTGCGATTATAGGTATCTCACTATACTAACTTAGCGCGACAGAAAAAACGTGATGCGCGAACAATCCATAAACTTGTTGATTTTAACCAAATTCCACTAGTTAATCTGTTATAAGAAGCGACAAACTTCTTGAGCAAAATGAACTAGCGCAATAGATGTTCTTGTATGTAAAATTGTTATTGCACAGGTTTCCTAAGGATGTGCTCAAGAAGTTTGCCGGGGTGTATTGGTACCATGTCGCCCTGACATCGATCACTCTACAGCAATACAAGACAACAAACAATTTAGTGTAACTTCCGCTATTGAAAACAACTAGCTTCAAGTTGCCATTTCAATGATACACCTAAATTGTGATTTTTTCACCGGATTCCAAAGACAGTGTGGAGTTTCGTTCTCGTATGATGTAGTTTTTCTCCTGCATCTTTGTCTTTTACTATTGCAATATTTATACGATTGATTTATCTCAAAAGGAAGCGCACCACTAGCTTACCCGTTTCCGTAACAGAGTATAGTTGAAAATCTTAGATCTTATAAAGATAGGTATTCTACTAAACTGAAATCAGCCGACGTATGAAACAGGTTGACTTGCTTTTTAATCTTTATGATTGTAGAAATCAGTTTATAATTATATTCTTATGACTGCGCGACGAGGAACTGTCCGCGGATTATTTTGTTCGCCAAAATAGATCGATTGCAACTGCATCGTGTAATGCACACGCGGAATTTAAAGTCCTGTGTACAAAAAGTCTCCCGAACAACCGAGGATACCGAGAGACCGGATAGGACAAAAGAACGAGGGAGTCCACGAAAAAAGAACTCATGTGACTAGGCGTAGCAACGCACACAGCGAACTTTAGTCCACTTGCATATTCGATCCGATCTCGAAGAGATGGACCTAGTATTCCCCTTTAATACGTATTATTTTTTTCTTAAACTTCATGTTCATTACAACAGAACGTAGTCTGAGAATATTTACTTTCATAGAGTGCTCCGCTTCTCTAAATTTTCTGGCAATAAATGTTCGCACACCGTGTGAGTTAAGTCCGTGACAAGTCCTCGGCGGACATTTTCACGATCCAGGGACTTGTCCTCCGCGGACAAATTTCCTCGTCTATGCAGGCCATTACATAGCGCCAGTATAGCCTTGTATTCGTCAAAGAAGCTTCCTTCCACCTTTTACATCAAAACATCAGAGCATTTAATCGAGACCGAACGAGATTGCGTGTATTTTATCGCTGGATATATCCCTAACCTCGTATAGATATATAATTGCAAATTCTGTATGAATTTATCAGACCCATTATTATTATAATATAGGAATATAGATATTCAAGTTCATTCATTTACGCTTATATCATAGTACGCATAAGGTATACATTTCTGACATCAAGAACATGAGAAATGCAATAAAGGGAACTGATAAACACACTTCGCTTGTGCTACTTCAGAGTAGCTTATCTATTGGTTTCGAATAAATCCTTATCGATTATGGTTTAGTTTCCGTCATCCCATCACATTTGCAGATTGTTAACAACAGGAGATTATACAAAATATTGATCCATTTGTTGATTATCTATGATGAGTTTCAATGGAATTTTCTCATGATATAATTTATCTATTTATCTGATAATGCTACAATTTATTACCTACCAATAAAGCAATATTATGTTGATTAATTATCCGAGTAGCTCAATATTTTTTTGGAGTTATCGATTGGAAATTTACGGTATCTTGTTTTTTCTTATAGCCAGGTAGGCAAATGACTCTACCCCACCTGATTGTATTGTATTGAGAAACCGACAAGAAATTCAGAAAGGGCTGTTTTCTTTTTTTTCACACGTTGGCTACGCATCATAAGTTACTGCTGTATAGATGCTGCCTAGTTAGTTGACAAATTCATCAACATCATCATCCCATCTTAGTCTACTGCTGGTCAAAGGCCTCTCCAAATGCACGAATTCATTTACATCTTTTGAGTTCTGTTGTAGAGTTACTTTTAGCATCACACTAGCTGGGCTGGATTTAGGCAGGTCAGACGGGGCTGTGACCTAGGGGCCCCCACACAGAGATAAAAATTAATAAAACCTACCGGTTGAAATATACTGGTAACCTTACTCAGTCCATAGGGTCTAGTATTCACTTAAGGTAATTTTTGACATTTTAAATTCATTGTTATTGATTACAATGACCGCGTCATTTGCTATACTTCATACTATTTGAGCATACAGGTGTAACATACTGGTGGATGCCTGTGATTTCGTCTGCGTGATAAGATTTATTTCCCATACAAACATCTCCCCACTTTTAGCCCCCTTCGAGGATGATTTCTGTGATAAAAACTATCCATTTCCAGAGACTCAAACTATCTATATACCAAATTACATTTAAATCGGTTTAGCTGTGTAAGCGTAAAAAGTTAACAGACAGTCGGGCAGACACAGTTTCAGATTTATTAATTAGTAAGGATTAATTAAAATATAGAAATTGGTTTATAATTGTTAATTTATTTAAAAATAGTAGTAACAGTGGTGTCGATTCTAGCATGATTCTCTAAACCTTATTTGTCAGCAATGTATCCTTGTCATTCTCTTTACAGAATGAAAAGGAGAGACTGATGTCAAATTTAGTTTTAAGTTAAGTAAGAGAATCATGCCAGAATCAAAATAAAAAAATCAAAACCGTTAAGTTAATTACAAGGTATTTAGTTACGAGGTAGAGGTTAGATTTTTAGCTGACGTTGATAAAATGAACTTACTAGAAAAAAAGGTAATTTTCGTCTAAAAAGCAGCTTTTCTCTTTTACCAGATTCGTGATAATAGCCATGGAGGCGATGGACCAGCTCCTGGTCGCGTGTCACGCGCAGACCCTAAACTTGTTCGTGGAGAGCTTCCTCAAGATGGTGCAGAAACTGCTGGAGTCCACGGACCCTCAGTTGCAAATACTGGCGACGCAGAGTGTGAGACTTTATAAACATTATGTTGTAGCCCTTGCAATACCGGAGAAAACTGACATTCTAAATTTCTGACAACCTCCGTGGCTCGAATAGTACTCGTATTTACGCCGGTTTTCAAGGTGACGCCTACTCAGAGGTCCCGAATCTCGGTGGGGCAAACGTTTGTGTGATGAATACCAGCATTTGTACTGCAGTCATGGATGTTTAATATGTATTTCAATATAAATACACTTATATATGTATTCTATCCGTTACCCTGGTAGTAAGTATCACATAACACAATGCTTTGGGGGTAGGCTAATTGGTGTGTGTGTTAGAAATATTTATTTTATTTATTTATTCTCGCCGCCAGAGGCGCTGACATCGTATGGTCCAAAACTATTCACATCATCTGTTTATATACATTTGTATTTTAATTGAAGAGCGCTACGTTATGTAGTAATTTGGTGTAACAAAAATGGTAACCACCACGACCACAAAGATGATCGAATGATAAAAAGGATAAATTTGTTTTTTTTTTTAGTATTGACCTATGGTTGATGGTACAATTTTGACCACGATAAGCCTTCAAATAGTGGCCAGTCAATTAAAGTTGTAATTTATTTATGAGTCCTTGCCATGCTTTTATTGAAAGATAATTAATTATTCATCATTTCGCAAGAACCAATATCAATTTCGAATAGTAGAATTAATTGAATTCTACTATTCGAAATTGATACGCGTCAAATGTCAAGAAGTTTTGTATGATAGATATTTCATTCTTGTTTCATTCGTTGTGGCGCTGTTCAAATTTGCATAGAAAATTTCTGACATTTGACGTGTATCTAGATCGAATTCTGTAATGGTTCAAGGGTAATGTTTTAATGAGCTTTAAGTTTCCTTCCCCGTTGAGTTGTCCGTTGTCCCCATTTGGGGATCTAAAATAGCGAGATTGTATGTTTTAATATTTTTTCGTGTATTGTTAAATTATTCAAATTTTAAAAAAGATTTATATTTGAGATTTGTAAAAATATTAACTTAAATGAACAAAATATTAACCTACAATCTCGCTATTTCGTGTGTTCATCTAGCAGTACAGCAAATACTTGTATGATGATTGATGATAATGTTGATGATGTCGATTACTGATGATGAATATTTCCAGTTCGTTCGTTTCGCGAACATAGAAGAGGACACGCCATCGTACCATCGCCGCTACGATTTCTTCGTATCCAAGTTTTCCGCAATGTGCCACAGCAACCACAGCGACGTCGTCGCCAGGGACAAAATCAGACTGGCAGGCATACAGGGGCTGCAGGTAAGCTTTACAAGCCATATTTTGAGGACTGTAAGTGCTAAAATCGGGTTAAATATATTTTTAGTTTTTATATGCGACAATTAGCATGTAACTTAAGAGCATCCGTAATTAATTATAGATATTATTTGTGACAGTATCTTATATTTAATATTCCATCGACTATTTAATTTCGTAAATTTACTATTTTTAAAACTTTGTTTTTTATTTCAGGGTGTAATCAGGAAAACTGTATCAGACGACCTGGTTGAAAATATATGGGAAGCTCAACATATGGATAAGATTGTTCCCTCTTTGCTCTACAATATGCAGGTAACATAGGCAATAACAATAATAATCTTCATTTGTTGGTTTTTACTAAAGTATTTCCACAGAATTTTTAAAATTTTGGCAGTTAAGCTTTGAAGTGAGCGAAGCGAAGTGAAGTTAGCATTGAAATGTGTAATAACCTATTCGTATAAATTTTTCAAAATGTTATATTCTATTATTATTCAAAGGAATGTATAGATTTTTATAGATAGTTTTCGAGAAAGTACACACATCAAAAGTGTCTAGGGATCAAGCATTTTTATGCGGATTTCTTGAGATTGAGATGTGGCTTTGTAATAAATTTATGATTTTATAAATTTATATGGATCCTTTTTGGTGCATTTCATAATTTGAATCAGGAACTGTGAATCAAATTCGAGTAAAAGATGAAAATCAGCTGTCAATATTTTCCCTATAAAAACATACAACGCATTGAAGACATTATTAGTGCTACTGTTTCCCTACTACTGATTAAAACCAACGTTATTATGGAGCGGCGACGTCATTTAAGCAGGGAAGAAATGCTCAGAGCCGTGGGAATGATAGAAGCTGGTTCCCGGCAACGTACTGTGGCTTTAGCTCTGAATACAAGTCAGAGTGTTATCAGTCGACTTTGGACACGATACCGAAGCACTGGTACCGTGGCTGAGCGCCTTGGAGGACGGTATCGCTGCACCACACGGAGACAAGACCGATACATTCAAATCTTAACTCGAAGAGCTCCAACAATAACCGCCATGATGTTAGCCGTGAGGCTTCATCACTCTTCAGGGAACTTAATTAGCGACCAAACAGTCAGAAACCGCTTGCATGAAGTGAACCTTCATTCCCGAAGACCGCTACGGGTACCACCTATAGCAAAGCACAATCGTAGGATTCGATATCAATGGGCTCTTGAACACAGAAATTGGGCAGAAGAACAATGGCGTTTCGTGTGCTTTTCTGATGAGTCTCGTTTTGGTATGAGACCGGATACAAGACGTATACGACACTGGAGAACCCCTGGACGCCAACAGCGATTAAAATCCTGCCAGGAAGTCCATCCTTATAGTGGTGGAACCATCATGGTATGGGCGGGTATTTGGATCGGCGGAAGAACTGAGTTGATTTGGATCAGAGGCAACCTCAACGCTCAAATTTATGCTGAGACGATTGTATCAGACGTCATCGTTCCTCTACAAGTGCAAATCGGTCCCTTATTTCAGTTAATGCATGATAATGCACGACCGCACACCGCAAGAGTTGTAAGACAGACTCTCGCCGCAGCTAACATCAATGTCCTGCCCTGGCCTGCTCAGTCGCCAGACTTGAACCCGATTGAGCATGCATGGGATATGCTACAGAGAAGAGCTCTGCCGAATATGGAGGGTATCCAGTCGCAAGAAGACCTTTTTTTGTTGTTGCAACGAACATGGGCGGCCATTCCACAGCGTGATTTGGATGAACTCATTTTGAGTATGCCAAACCGATGTTCTTGTGTTGTTAGTGTTCGCGGTAGAAATACGGATTATTAATTGTTTAAGTTACCCAATAAAATTTTAGAGAAAACTGTTATTTCAGTCTTTTTTTCGAACTTTTGTGTTAGTGGTTCAAATGTCAAAAATCCCTTTATTAGGAAAATGGCAAATTTCTTTATTAATGCAAAGGTGACTTGGTTTATCGTTACTGTGACAAACGAAAACACTTTATTTGATGAATCCTTAAAGAAAATTTTAATTAATATCAATCAGGAGAAAAGTTATTGCAAAAATATATGTTGATCCCTAGACACTTTTGATGTGTGTAGTACTAATAATCACTTTATTTAGCATTTGCTATTATGCTAAGTACCAAAAATTACAAAGTCAAATGAGATACTTTACTTTTGAAAGAAGGAATATCATTATAATCTTTGTATATTCATATGTAAGCATTTTAGATTTTTATATCGGAATTGTTCTCTGTTCAGTGAGTGTTGGTTTGATTCCCGCCAGTTATATATAGTTATAATGTTTCTAGCAAATATTTGCCTTAAATTAACAGTACTTTTTCCATTTCCAGGCGGCCGAGAAGTACGAAACCGTGTCTTGCATGGAGACGGACACTAGAGACGGGGCGGAGGACAGTCCGCCGCGTCTAGCCGAAGCCTGCTTGAGGGAGCTAGTGGGGCGCGCCTCGTTCGGGCACATACGGAGCGTGCTTCGGCCCGTGCTCACGTGAGTACACCGCTATATTTTAAGTGTGCCCGCACGGGGACGGCACTAGAGACGGGGCGGAGGACAGTCCGCCGCGTCTGGCCGAAGCCTGCTTGAGGGAGCTAGTGGGGTGCGCCTCGTTCGGGCACATACGGAGCGTGTTACGGCCCGTGCTCACGTGAGTACACCGCTATGCATGAAGTGTGTCCGCACGGGGACGGCAATAGAGACGGGATGGAAGACAGTCCGCTGCGTCTGGCCGAAGCCTGCCTGAGGGAGCTAGTGGGGCGCGCCTCGTTCGGGCACATACGGAGCGTGCTTCGGCCCGTGCTCACGTGAGTACACCGCTATATATTAAGTGTGCCCGCACGGGGACGGCACTAGAGCCCGGGCGGAGGACAGTCCGCCGCGTCTAGCCGAAGCCTGCTTGAGGGAGCTAGTGGGGCGTACCTCTTTCGGGCACATACGGAGCGTGCTTCGGCCCGTGCTTACGTGATTACACCGCTATATATGTATGAAGTGTGCCCGCTTGGGGATAGCACCAGTGACGGGGTGGAGGACAGGACAGACTCATACGGACCGTTCTTCGGCCCGTGCTCACGTGAGTACAAGCTCAACATACCGGAAGACAATAATCTAGCCCCAATGAAAGTAACTTATACTACCGGTGCTAGATGTTTTATGAATCTTAAAATATCGGTCACTAACTGCTATGCTAAGCTAGGTAGGTAACTAAATATATTAGCATTAGATAATTGTAAAGGAGATTGGTCAAATTGGCCTAAATGCAAATAAAATATTGACATATACAGTAATTCTTGGCGTAATTTATACTTTATTTTACAGTCATTAGATTTTAACGGCCACCTTTAAATAATATATTAATTTTAAAAAAGGACTTCTATTTTTACCGGTTTGGAAAACATACGAATCATTTTTATTGGCTATGGGTGTAGTAACATTCACAAAGACTGATCGAGGTTGTTTATATAACATCAAAACAAATCTATTTTGTAAAGATTGATAAAATATATTTTTTTTTTATTACACGGGTGGTATTAATATCCACAACTTTATTATTTTTACTACATGCAAATGTGCTAAGACAATTAATATAGATGGTAGGCGACATCATAAAGTCTATTGCCGTACATTTTTTGCCAAACACCTAAATAAACACATTATAAGGTGTGATACACTAAAAATCTAAAATATGGTTATAATAAAAACATAACAAAAATAATGAAGCTGCTGAAGATATGGCTGTATAACCAACAGCTCTTAGCTTTCTTTGATTAACGAGAGTTTAAAAATTCTCTTTAATCTGTGGCTCATTCACAATCATCACACAGTTTCTGTTCGTGTTTTTAAAAACATGCACATATCTGTTATTTTACATGCTCTATATACCTGAATCTAATACATAATATCGGTAGGTACTTGGCTTGATTGCCCTATTTTCCTATATAAGTTATTTGGTTTTTATTATTCTATTACCTATGTGCCTATTTGCAAACATAACCTCAAAATCATTCAGTGTATATGGTTTATAGAAGTTCTCAGGAGTGGCCGTCGATAATATTCGTTTCTACGGAAATTTATATATAATTTCGAATGTAGGAAACAATTTTTCATGGTTATTGGTTTTTAGGCCAAACATGTATGGAAGCTGAGCAATCTCCTTTAATTTTGATAGCGTAACTAAGTTCAATTTCATATTGATTAAGTTAGTTATCGGTTATGAAAAATCAGTAAAAAATATCAATTTTATACATTTAGTTGCAGTCCAGCACAACTACTCTTTTAAACACACTCTTAGACAAAACGTAAACAAACCATGAAAAGGTTTTTGAATAAGTCAAATTTCATACGTATATAAAATAAATAAAAAAAAAGTGTCACTAAAGATCTAAAACTGTAGCTATTTCCAAACTTTGAACGCATTATAACAGTAGTGATTTGAAGGGTATATTTGGGTATCGATAAGAAACTTTTAGAACCATTGTTTTTTTTTATGTTTTTCTCAGAGGAAGTTAGATAGAGTATAGTACTTCTTCCTTTTACATTCACAACTGCATAATACTAAGTTTGTGATGCGTAAATTGTTTCTTTCAGGCATTTCGATCGCCACGAACTGTGGGTGCCTAACGATTTCGCAGTGCACACATTCAAGATAATCATGTTTTCTATTCAGGTATGTATATCAGGGTGTCGTTACGAATAAAAATTATAATAAAATTCGTGCTAGCTTCTTAGTTGAAATTGGTCATTTTAAGTACTTAGTTTCCGTCAAAGATTCATTATGTGTGTCTGTTCTGATGCATATAAAATATTGTCTCTTTGCAGTATTTTTTCATATTATATACATTTTTATTATCAACTAGCGGCCGCCCGCGACTCGTACGCGTAGAGTTAGTTAGAAATAAAGGGTCACTGCTCGTTCTCCGTAGGTGATAGCGTGATAATATGGAGCCTATATGTTGACCCGAATTCTTAATAATATTCGAGCCAAAGAAGTAAATCTATGCAGTACTTTTTGAGTTTATCCCGAACATACAAACAGACAAAAATGCTAAAAAACTATATTTTTACCTTCGGTATCGACTGTAAATCACACCCCAAGTATTCTTTAAAAAAATGTTCAGTGTACAGTTTTGACTTTCCTTCCATTTTATTATTTGTATAGATAATGTTATTATGTTTGCCAGGCTCAATACTCGTACAGTGTTGTGGAAGCGTTGATGCAACATTTGGACGCGGGCGGTACGAGCGCGGGCCAACCGCGCGTTCGAGCCGCGCGCGCCGCCGTCCTGAGCAACATCGTCGCTATAGCGGCTGCCGACTCTGTGGGTGAGTGGGACGCTACTAAACCTTATCGGGCGAGTTCCAAACGCGCGTGGTTGACTGGTGAGTGAGTGGGATGATAATACACCTTATGGGGCATGCCTTGAGGTCGATCATGAAGCATTACACGCGTGCGGTCCGAGTGCGTTCGACTGGGTGAGTGGGACGATAATACACCTTATGGGGCATGCCTTGAGGTCGATCATGAAGCATAACATGCGTGCGGTCCGAGCGCGTTCGACTGGGTGAGTGGGACGATAAAACACCTTATGGGGCATGCAGTGAGGTCGATCATGAAGCATAACATGCGTGCGGTCCGAGCGCGTTCGACTGGGTGAGTGGGACGATAATATACCTTATGGGGCATGCCTTGAGGTCGATCATGAAGCATTGGACGCGTGCGGCCAGAACGAGTCCGAGCACGTTCGACTCTGCGTGAGTGGGACGATAATACACCTTGTGGGGCATGCCTTGAGGTCGAAACAAGAACGGGAAATTTTATAACATTTTAAAATATATTTTTCGACTCGCATTATAAGTGCCTGTATTACAATTTAGATAATGTGTAAATGTGTTCTGTTTTCTGAATAAAGTTTTTTATGTTTCGTTATTTTATATTATACCTGACATACCGGATTTATATTTGCATCCGTTGTCATACGTAAGACACGTATGACCAAGGATCAATTAAAATCACAACTATTGAACCCATCTCACGTATTTGTCCACAGAAAGTTACCACAAACTAAATTTTCAGCTATATCTATTAAATCTTATATTAAATAATATGAAATTTATACTTATTTGGAATTTTTTACCAGTTTTGATTGAATACCTTAATCTGTGGCTAAATTTACTGTGTATGTTCGAGGATAATAAGCAGACGAAATTGTGTATTAACATAACCAACGGTGCTACAATCACCGCGACATTTAAAATTATTGATTTTTTAATAAATTTGTTACAATGGGACCTAAGCGAATTTTTCAGGGTAATTTCATATTTATAATATGCATGTTTAATATAGATATTGTTTAACATTGTAAAAAATATATTTGTTTTAGGACCTTCGGTGTTGGAGATAATCAACAATTTGTTGACAAACTTGAGAGCTTCCGTAGCGAGAGATTCAGAGGTAAGCCTAAGACATACAAATAACACCCCTCTTCTACTCTCCTTTTTTACATATTCTGATTACGATTTTTTGACAACTAAACGGTTGAAGAAACTAAATTATGGTAAAAAACTCTTTATTAATAGTGATTTTCCTTCTTTATTAACAGAAAGAAACCGACGAGAAACTATACCAGGATGCGCTTATAAACGCGTTGGGTGAATTTGCGGATCATTTACCCGATTTCCAGAAGATCGACATCATGATGTTTATCGTAAGCAAGGTGCCGAGCTCGCAGCGCGGCAAAGGGGCGCGGCCCGACGCCATGCTGCAAACTATATTGTTGAAATCGTTACTCAAAGTGAGTAATTTAATTCATAATAATCATAATCAAAATCATTTATTCAGTTTAGACTGTTACAAGCACACATGAATGTTTAGAAGCTACGCCATCGATTCTTAAATCTTCAGCGGCAGACCTTGTACTGAGAAGAACCGGCAAGAAACGCAGCAAGGGCTGTTTTTTTCTCTCCCTGTTTTGTTATTTACAGAGTCTTCAAGTTGAAAAATGACTTCAGATGTGATTCATGAAGTCGCCTTTCATTAAAAAATGTGAAATTATATATTAATTGTTCACCAGCATTTTGATTGCTGTGTCATACAGTATAAATACAAATAGTGTTATTTATATTAAGTGTAGCTAGGCATTTACGTTTTTGTGTTTTTTTTTTATTTAAGATAATTACGTTTAATTACGCCGTGAGGTGGCGTCTCTAAGCGCGTTCTATCGTCTGTATCACGGCGAGTGTTCTGAGAAGTTATTCTCTCTTATTCTACCTTCCACTTTCATTCAGAGGTCCACGCGCGCTGGCCTACGTTGTCACCGTCTAACTGTGGCCATAATTCCAACACGTACAATTAAATTTGGTAACTCATATCTTTGTCGCACTATCCGTAAATGGAATGCTCTGCCCGCTCACGTTCCCTCCTTACAACTTCGGATCTTATAAAAGATGCGCGAAGGAACAACATGCAGGCCAGTAAGGTGAGGATGGCTGGTGTGGCAGGTAGAATTGCCGTACCAGCTATCTTCATGTCTCATACAACCTGGGATCCTATAAAAGAGGCGCGAAGGAGCAACATGCAGGCCGGCAAGGTGAGGATGGCTGGTGTGGCAGGTAGAATTGCCGTACCAGCTATCTTCATGTTTGGACTTCACCGTCACTTAACATCAGGTGGGGCGGAGTCATTTGTTGCACCTACCAAAAAAAAAATTACCCGATTTCGTCAAATAGGAGAATTAATGTTTTTATTTTGATGGTATATTTCCTATATTTCCTGATCCCAATGCTGCAATCTATACTGCCTGCTCAAGGTGAGTGAAAGTATCTTTACCGCACACATTATTTACTGCTCAAGTCGTTGCTGAAAGTGAGTTGAATTACGTTTACCCGACTGCAAAAAAGTGGGTTGTTTTTACGGAACATTTGAAAGACGCCATGCAGCAAATTGGTACTGCTGAAATCGTTGCTCAAGGTGAGTTAAAATCTTTTCGCGACTGCGACACGAAGGTGGGTTATGTTTTGTGATATTTTACCCGACGCTATGCTGCATACTACTGTTGAGCGTGTTGGGAAGTATGTCTATCCGACTACGTCAAAAGGAACATTGTCTTTATGGTATATTTCCGATACCATGCTGTAAACGTACTAAATAAACTATGAACGCGTTGGATGAATTCGCTTACCACTTGCCCGACTTTCTGAGAGCATTCCATGGTCTCTAATCGGCTGGAACGATTGTAAAGTGAGGTTTCAATAAAATATTTGTATTATCTGAATTTGTCTAAAAAATTTAGCTGGTTCATGGTGGAGGTTGAAAAGTGTTAAATGATTCAAATTGAAATATTATAAATCTAATACTTATATAAAAATCTCGATTCACAGTGTGCGTAATTGAAATACTCCGAAACGGCTCGACAGATTTTCGTGAAATTTTATATGCATATTCAGTAGGTCGGAGAATCGGACAACATCTATTTTTCATCCCCCTAAATGTTAAGGGTGGTCCACCCTTAAATTTTATTTTTGTACGAAACTTTTTGTTTTTATTTTTTTATGATACATCATACAAAAATACATACAACCTTAAATTTTCACACTGCTACCACCAACCCCTATTTTTTATGGCGGTACGAACTTCGCTGGGTCAGCTAGTGTTTGTATATAAATCTTTCGCCGGTTCACAAAACCAACAGTGGTTACTTTAGGGCTAGGCTATTTTGTATCGTACTTTTCATATATTTAACTACAATATCTATTTCGCAAATAGGTCGGCACCACCTACAGGACTACAGAGTTCAGCAAGGCTTTCCCCGCCGCCTTCCTCGAAGCGTTACTTCGCGTTTCAAGTGCTGGCGAGCCGGCTACTAGAGCTTTACTACAACGAATCCTGCATACGCTCCTTGACAGGAGGGGAAATGCGCCTCATCTCATTGTGCCCACGTAAGTAAAAACGTTTAAACAGAGTAGCAAAGATTACGACACGACTCCGATCCGATCACGATCCGACTACGATTCAATCATGATCTGACTAAGACCCACTTGCAGCAATTTTGCTAAATCTCGATTCAACTAAAACTAGCATTTTACTATAGAAAAATGTCAGCGACGTTGACGTTTTGACATTTTTGTATGGGATATACAATCTAGTTTTGGTTGAATATAGATCTAGAAAATTTCCTGCACGTGGCCTGAATAAGCGTTAGCGAGTTGGTTATTAGGACTTTATTCGCGTTCGCACATCGGTTCACAAATCCACAGGGTGAGTGTTTTATTAAAAATAACCTACAGAAAACCATCAACGGCTATTCTTTTCCCTATACTATTATTATTATTATGTACAGAGCCTCAAGTTGTCAATATGCGATAATTCATTCGTGAGAAAATGCGAATACGATCCCGACTTTGTGAAAACACTGGCGAGCCGGCTACTAGCACTATTACATGTTTATTTTTAAGGTTTCGTACCAAAGTGTAAAAACGGGACCCTATTATTAAGACTCCACTGTCCGTCTGTCTGTCACCAGGCTGTATATGATGAATCGTAATAGCTAGACAGTTGAAAATTTCACAAATGACGTATTTCTATTGCCGCTATAGCTAAAACTAGGTACTAAAACCGGAATAAAATAAACAGTTAACGGGGGCTCCCATACAAGAGAAACGTGTTTTTTCTGTTTTTTGCTCGCGATATTATTATAGTGTCTAATGTTGTACAGATAATGGTGCGGAACCCTTCGTGCGCGATTGGCACTCGCACTTAGACGGTATTTTGATAATAAATGAAATATTAAAAGTCACAATTTAATATCACTAGGATGTTATTTTTAATTAAACATCCTAGTCCTTTACTACTTACATAGTTATTATGACTTAGGTACTTGGAATCTTCGAAATCGAAATTGAACTCGGGTTAACTTCTGAGGAACAATATTATTCAAAAAATAACTGACATAGTATAAGACACAATTTCAATGTAACGGCCGTACTCAGTCAACTAAATTCAATGCTTCATTACGTTACATATCTCATTCTATTGTTATACTACAAAATATGGCAACACTTGGAGGAAAAGACGTGCTCAAAGCCTCATCCCAATTTGGAGTCACTCAAGGCATCCTTGATTAAGGCAGCCGCCGATATTGACATGGACCTCGTTCGTGCTGCGATAGACGACTGGCCGCGCAGATTGAAGGCCTGTATTCAAAATCACGGAGGTCATTTTGAATAAACTTTATTGTCATAAGAATCTATGTTTTGTTAAGTTCATTTTGGTATATAAATGGTTACATAATGAATAAACTTGTTTCAATTATTTTATATTAAACATGTGACAGAATTTATGACCTGACTAGGTATATTGCTTGATTGTATTACAGTGTTGATTATGCTGAGCTCGGCCTTGCAGTAGAGAAGTGTTCTCGACAGGACATGATCTTCATCAGCAAGCACGGCTTCGCGATATACAGCTCTCTGTATGATGGTAATTATATATTTTATGCTATTATAAATGTATGTTGAGGAGCTCGATGGCGCAGGTGGTTAGAGCGTTCGGCCTGCGATCGTGGAAGTTAAGCAACTTTCGCAATGGCCGGTCATTGGATGGGTGACCAAAAGTTTATATCTCTTATTCCTCCGTCCTTCGAAAGGCACGTTAAGCTGGTGGTCCCGGATAGCACCCTCCAATCTGCACTGGTGGTGGGTCGTGGTCCAATTTAGCGATTCCATCCATAAGGAAGGCGCGTGCCCCAGCAGTGGGGACATTAATAGGCTGTGACGAGAGTTAACGAGAGATAATTGAATCCACTGTCATGGCCTTCATTATTTTCAATATGGTGATCAATATATGTATATGTATTCTATCCGTTACCCTAGTATCCCATAACACCAGCCTTATAGTGCTTAGCTTGGGGCTAGGCTAATTGGTGTGTGGTGGATTTTATTTTTATTTTTTTATTTTTTGTATATGAGAAGTTTGAGTGCACAAAAGATTAGCACGTTCGGCCTGCGATCGTGAAAAATAAGCAATTTGCGCAATTGCCAAGTCATCAGATGGGTGACCTAAACCATCCAGCCCAGCTGTCCCAGCTGCATCTGCAATCATTAGCACCCACTAATTTGAACTGGGCCTGCGTGGTGGGTCATGGCCTTGTCTCCCTATTCTGTCCGTAGGGATGGCCTTTACCCTAACAGTATTTATACAAAGCCCAACAAATTACCCCACCCAGAACGCTAGCTGACGTTATGTGCTAATAGAATCTAATGAAAATTGACGCATAGATGGCTGATGCAACAAAAAAGAGTGCCATACCAGTTATCCTCCTTGCCGGAATAAATACCATTCCATACATCGTATTAAAAATGATATGGAATACGAACTGCGCTAAAAAGTGGTTCCACGCAAACTGCGATCCAGTGGGCGGGGCGAAAAAAATTATTGGTTGGGCAAAAAAAATGGATAGCTGAATTCATTTGCAGACTTGATTCGTCGTATTATTTTGTCTTGTTACGTAACGCGGCACGCGTTAGTATTGAAGTTAAGCAGTATGAGTTTTGTATAGTGCGATTCAATTAACTACTCCGGCGGTAATGTGGAATGGAAGCGCTAAATTCTGATAAATGTTTTTTCTATTATTAAAAATCGGTTGTTTTCTCACTTAATCTTAGTAAATAAGGTTTATTAAATAAAAACTTTTTTTTGCTCACTCGACCTATTTGGTTTGAATTGACGCTATGACGACACAATATGGCGCCCAGTTGGTCCTATTCTATAGTCCTATTCTAGTTGAATCGCATTATACCATTTTTTTATCGACCTTTGTTAGAGTAATGCTACCATATCATTTCTAATTCATTGATTCCATGACATGAATATCTTACCAGCACTTCATTTATTTACTTATAATTCTTGTAGGATTGCAATTGGAATCGAACACGCTCGAGAACGTAGAAGCTATTTATACGACCCTCGCGTTGCTGTGCATCGAGCTGGCATCAGAGGAGACACTGTGCGACATATTGCAGCTGATTTTAGCGTAAGTAGTCTTATACTATATTATGTAGGAGTGGAACTCCTTGACGAGGTCTGTTTTCCCGGACCAATATAATCTGGACATCTTCAAGGCCAGATCGAACAGGCATCTTCTAGGCAGGCGTGTACCATCCTAGGCCTCATCATCTCTTTCCAACAGGCGAGTTTGAGGTAAAACGCCTTGCCTATTATACATTAAAAAAAAAAAACGAAAACATTTTTTTTTATCTGCGCTGAATATTACTACAGATCGGATAATCTGAAGCATATTTATCTACAGTTGCGATGTTGGCTATTATGGAAAGAACTTTTTTATCGCAAAGATCCCGCGATTCTGAGAAATTAAATTTTAGTGTGTACTCCGTGAGATCACACAAACCCAGATTGACACAAATGACAGTTGCTCTGTATGTATAACATAAAAATATTGTGTAAATTCCTTTTTTTGATAATGATATCGATAAAATAAATTTATAATCATTTATGTTACCTTGTTAACCACACCACCATTTCTCCTACACCTTGCATGGGAAATAAAAAAAATACTTTAAGTAAATATACATGCGATTAGTTATGCGATCCCAGAATCTCGGGATTTTATTTTTAATAACAATATCCTAAGAAACCGCTTCGATAATATGTTAACCAAAAATAAATTTAGGTAAATATGCATCCGATTATCCGATCTCTAATTATTACCTATATAAAAATATTAGCTGTCTGCAATCTCCATGTAAACTTTATTTATACAAAATCTCATACTCTATTTGCAAAATATGCTCAAAAGTGGAAAGTATAGTTGTTTGCTTCAAGTATTAATAAATAAATAATAATCTAAAACTAAATAATGTCAATAAATGTAGCTCAGTCCTTGTAGCATGAGCACAACAATTAACATTATATGACGTTTTTTATCCCATCAATTGTCGAACTCCGTAGTAATTGGACAATTAAACGTGATAAAAACGCATTATATATCATGTCGTGGTGCTCATGCTAGGGCGGACAGGATTATAAATTACTAGCCATACAAACTTCAAACCCCCTAAATCATTTAATTTCTAGGATAGACACTATGCGATGTCCTTTCCCTGGATTCAAACTATATGTATACAAAATTTCATCTTAATCGGTTAAGTGGTTTAAACGTATGTGATAAACTAGCTGTGCTTCGCGGTGCTACCCGCGGTTTATTAGGGATATTTTCCCGCAAAAAAACGTAGCCTATGTGTTAATCCAGGGTGTCAGCTAACTCCATACCAATTTTTTATTAATATCGCTCCAGCCGTTTAGACGTGAAGAAGTAACAAACATACACACTCGCACACTTTCGCCTTTATAATTTTAGTGTGTTAACAGAGAGACACATACTGTCGCATTTAGAATATTAGTATAGATATAATCTTTTTCATGTAGGATTCAACAATCGGCTCTATCCAACCCTGTTTTAAGCGTGGCTCAGCAATGCCAGCTGCAAGCATTGGTGGCGGCCCTGGCGGCTTTACTGCCCCACGTTATGCCTTTGCCTCGGCTACAGGAATACGTACGAAAGGTAAAATACCTATATCATCATCATCAGCCTATTAATGTTCCCCACTGCTGCGGCACAGGTTTTCCCTATGGATGGAATAGGGAGACTGGGCCTTACCCACCACGCGGGCCCAGTGCGGATTGGCGGGTGCTAACGACTGCAGATGCAGCCGGGACTAATGGCTTAACGTGCCTTCCGAAGCACGGACGAACTTTGAAGTCAAAAATCTTCAAAATTTGCGTTACGTAATACTTGAACGCTCCTTAAGACCTGGATGTGAGTAACGAGGAATATATCCGACAATGGGTGAACCCGGGCTTATGAAGAAGCAGAAGATAATTTAATAGTTTAATATTATTTAAAATTTTAAGCTTAATAACGAGCGTTGTCTTGCCAACAACCTGATGTTTACAGGTTGGCAAGGTTTTAAATTATGATAAAATGATGTATCACTGATGAAATAAATAAAAACAAAAAATATGTACTTAGCTGTAGAAAGAGAGAAAGCTCCATTTACTTACTAGCTATTCGTCCCGGCTTGGTGAAAAATATAGCCATGTGACTGAGCCCCTTTAACATGATCACCGCGATATGTTAGAGCTTTTAATACTCAACTGTCAAACTGCATTGTAGTTTGACAGTCAATGTTGATAAATTATTTTATTATATCGGCGTCTTGGTGGTCTTGTATCGTCTTGGGGGGAAGAGGAGCAGGAATAATGTAGCTTTCAAACGGTGAAAGAATTTCTGAAGAAGTACTAGTAGTTTTTGAGTTTTTACTCGTTTTAATGTCGACATTTTCTATTACCCTTGGCTATTCGAATTTGCTATTTGTGAACTTGACAAAAATTGTCCTTATCACGCTTTATAAGGAACTTTAAGAACATACTGATGTCTACTTTACAAGTAGCAAACACGAATAGCCAAGTTAAGTGCCGACATTGGACATTATTTTTTTAATATTTGTATAGATTAGTAGAAAGTAGGATTTACAAAGTTTTCCGTCGACAGATCATCGAAGCCCGCGCCTCGGACGGCCCACAGTTGCTGCCTCCACTTCGCCGCGAGTATCCGAACCTTGCACCGGCCGATATGCCCGCAAGCATGCCGTTCCTCATGTTCGATCAAGTGAGTCAGTGTTCCGTTGAGAGATGATAGAATGTAACACTAGGTTTTAGGTGTGTTTTAAGAACCTTTTTGTATATTTTTTGTGTAATTATTCTGTTTTTAAATAAGGCTTAATTAATGATTTTTATTGATTTTTATATGCTTTATTGTTTTTTGCACCGTTCCAATAAAAAAGATTGAAATGTATTTTTTTAAGTTTATTTAATGGGCTTTCAAATGACACCAATATTGGTGAGGGTAAATGCGTGTGTTAAGGGTTATAGTAGGGACCACAGACTCTTAACGGATATGTATCAGCAGACCATAGATTTTCAGTTAACTCTCGACATTTAATTCATTCATAAGTAATAACAAATCAAACCTTATATAGATGTGATTATTTAATTATAATGAAGCTTCTTTTTCCAAAATTATGTAAGGCAGCGGAATTACTGAAACTCTGAAAGTTATGTTAAACTGTAAAAAGTTCAAGAAATATCCTTTGAATTGAACACGTCATATTGTGATGATGACTAACTTTTTTTTCTTCGTCCATCAGGTAAATTATCAAAAAGGATAGGACACGTATTTTTTCTTTTTCCACGTAATGAAAACATTACAAAGATATATTGATTTAAATTTGTCGCATGACGTCACGGCTTGGTACGATTTTTACTTAGTAGTGACGTGACGAGTGACTCCCAAATTTTGACGCGATATGTCTTTCTAATTTATTGTTTGATTGACAAAAAATAAGTGTCTATTATTTTTTTATAATCTAACTGACGGATTAAATAGAATTTGGTATACTTTCACCCGTCATCATCCCTATTGCTGTTACCAATAAAGTAACATTGTCGTATAGATGGCGATTTGCGAGTGCGTGAAAGCCAGTGGATTGGATGTGTCGAGACTTCAAGCGGCGGCGCCCTACGCTGGGGGCGCAGCCCTAGGCATTGGTCCTCATAGACACAGTTGGGTAGAAGCAGGTCAGTAATAAAATATTTAGTTACTAGCAGCCGCCCGCGACTTTGTCCGCGTTTACGTTAACTTTTTGAGATTTCCTCAGTATCAGGAAAATAATATTTTTCCGGGATAAAAAGTATCATATGTCTCTTTCCAGGTTATAAACTGTCTGTGTGTAAAATTTCATCTAAATCTGTACCCTTATCACGAACCAATATCGAATTCGTAACGTTTGCGAGTCCGAAATGTCATTGTCAAATGTGTACTGATTTTTAGTTCTCGTTACATATTTTGTGGCACTGCTGTTCAAGTTTTCATGGTTCGTGCTAGGGGCATTTTTGAGTTTAATGCGTGACTTAGTAACTAAAATAATAATGTTTATTTATATCTTCACAAAGTGGAACATTTTCCATTTACTATGAAGTGATTAATAATTTCAGTTAATCACTTAATGTAAAGGCTGGTGCTTGCACTATGATAACCTGTTCTACAAAACACCAGGCCTCCACTCCTGAAACTTCTGAGCAAAGCAAATTAATTTTGTACTATTATTATAAATAAGCTGGGCAAAAGATAATAGTCCGGACATGCCCTGATAAATGCGGACGAAATACTAATTAACATGACATAGCAAGACTTGGGGCCACTTCAAATTAAACTATCCATTAATTCTATTTTTAACAATTATTTTAAGTCAAATAAAAATAGAATGTGTTTAAAAAACTTTATTCTGGTACGTTTACTTTGAAGTATCTTGTTAATAAATAAACATATTGATATAACATGATCGGTTGCTAGGTGCCGCTCAAGGGCGAGACAGTTTGGCCGATATCACGGGACCAGTCGCGGAATTGGATAGCGCTAACAGTTCACCGGGAGTGCAAAGGGTGAGTTATGTGATTTCATTCTTTTATTTCAAAAATTCAAAATTCAATATCGTTTATTCAGTCTAGACTGTTACAAACACTTGTGAATATCGATGCATAGTCATAGGAGGTATTTTTTTAGATTTTTTGTGGTTCGATTTCAGTCTGATATGATACCTGGGCTTCAAACCTTTTTATGTAAAAAAGTATTCAGAAATGGGTTATTATTTCTTTGAATATATGTATTTGAGGGGAAATCTGCAGTCGATTCTGTTTGTTTTTAAATTCCTACTATACGGTTTGTGAATTTAAACTGTCACTCAAATCTTTTACATATTTTATTGATATAAAGGTAGGAAGGAAATTATATATTTTATAAGTCTTTTGTACGCGTATGTGACTTAGCCGTTTCAAAAAAATCGAAGCGCCGAACACTGAAATTACTGCAGACGATAAGTTTAATAAATTGTGTGGTTAGTTTATTCAAGTGCTTCCCTTTTCCCTCACCCTAAAATCCTGTTTTCTATAGCAAACGCAGTACGACGCTCTAGACGAAGAATACAGAATGTTCATCGAGAAATATAACCACAATCATCGGCCGAGCATGCAGAATTTTGGCACTTATGTAAATAACTATAAAGTTTATTACACAATAGTTGCATTTTGTTACGATTCAGTGATTTTTATGCTACCCCGTCACTGTTACTATTTAAGTTCTTATGCATTTTAATATCAACCCAAAGCTCAAAAACTAAATACTACTGGCTGCGTTCGGTATTTGCGTCTGATTAATCTCTTTAGTCTAAATTTACAAATTATATTACATCAGGAGTAAATCTAAAGCGTTTGGTAATTCCCCTCAGATCACTCCGATATAAATCTGTTTGCTCGATGTATTTTGACCGACGACAAAGATTAATCTGTCATATATCTATCATATTGTAAGGTTGGTTTCTGTTTGAGTTTAGAAATTTGGAACGGTTGGTCGGGCTGTTCGGTAATAGCAATACGCTATTTAATAGCATAAAAAATAATGTAGCAATAGTTGGCAACTGTATTTAATATGAATAATAGCAGCGATGATACTATTTTGAAAGAATAAATAATTAATAACTTTTCTAAAAACTCATTACATAGAAATGATTTTTTTCTCCATGCTCACGTGACCGAAAACGCCTGTGATTGGCCAAGACTAAAATGACGTCACACGTTAGTATACTTCCGGCCAAACTGACATTACATTGTATTGTTTGACGTTTTAATGTCAGTCGTGTGACATCACACACCAGTGAGGCGCCACAATGTCCAGAGAAACGTTCTCGCTTCAACTTGAAAATTGAATGTACAATTTAGTTTTTTTTACTGAATTACACAACAGAATTAAAAATATATATGGATGTTACAATATAATCTAAAACAATCATCATCAATGTATGTCTTCGTTTTTAACATACCTTAAAGTTAAGATAATGAGCCAACATTCACTAAATTATCCTAGAATTTGAAACTTAACTTAACTTAATTTCGGCGTTCGACAGTTTATAGTCCTGGGACTAGTTTGAATAGAAAACTAGTGAATTCTTCCATTTCCTGTCCTCTCCTCTTCTCTTTCCCTCTCTTCCTTTCTTCCAGCGGAATGATATTGATTTCTGGAATTGGCGGCACGATTACAGCGACAGCGAACATGACACACGCAAAGATAGGCGTTCCTCTATGATGGTATATTTGATTTAAATACTTAAATACTCTTTTTCATTCTGTTGCGTAGATATCGTTATATTAATATAAGGTTAATATAGTGGTCAAGGAAATCGAGTGCTGAGGGTAGCTACACACATAATCGGGCCGGCATAGTCGGTTCGGCAGTATTTGTCGAACAACAAAGCCACCCCGAAATAATTACTGTTGAACATACATCTACATATTATATTCTCGATTTTACCGTCCGGCTGTGCGGATTTATGCCGGCCGTTATCTATATTGTTTGTATCATATATTGTTGATTTGTTTTGATTTGTTGATCTCGTAATAATCCCTACTGGTATCTTATACACAAACTCTCATCCCATATTTCATATTCTTGAAATTAAACTGTCGCGCGGAAAAAGTAGCTTTTAAACGTCTACCTCTCTAGGGTCCCATCTCTTAAACAAAAATCATCATAATGAATTCTGCGGCCAAGGTGTGAAAGCACAATAAAAACAAACTCAATTTCATAGTTTCCTTTTTTTTTAATATTTCCAACACACACCAATTAGCCTAGACCCAAAGTAAGCACTGTAAGCTTTAGTTATGTGATACTAGAGTAACGGATATAATACATATACTGATATATAATTTATAGAAATATATTTATATAGAAATACATATTAAACATCCATGACTGGAATACAAATGCTCGTATTCATCACACAACATCTGCCCTCACCGGGATTCGAACCCGAGTTGGCGACGCCTTGAAACCCGGCGTTCAAACCACTCAGCCACGGAGGTCATCGGAGTTACAATATGAGTAAGGGTATCAGTTAAGTAGTATCTTTTTCATTTACAGCATCCAATGCAATCGGAAAGCGTAAGCCTGGAGGCTTTGAGGCGTGCAGCCACGGGCCCTACCGAAGCAGAGAGACGGGAAGCGGAAAGACGCAAGGCTACTTTAAACAACGCCTTCCGCACCGCCCCGTTCAACACCCTCCTCACTTTGACGCAACCTAAGGTATTTAAACCATAGAGGTATAAGAGTAGAGTAGGGGAGATATAGACTCTACTACAAGTGGAAGTGTCCCTCGAATAAAAAGAGAAAGAGACTGCTAGCTATTTCTCTCTCTTTTGTGACACATGGCATCCAATGGCATCACATCACAATAGAAAGATGCTTACGGTTGCCAATGCGCATGCGCGATTAGAGAGAGAAAGCTTCTACTAGATAGACACTTTTAGAGCCTCCTTCCCCACTCTATTCTTATACCTCTATAATTTAAACAAACATACATACAACTTCATCAGCTTATTAATGTCACCACTGCTGGGGCACAGGCCTTTCCTATGGATGGAATAGGGAGACTGGGCCATGACCCACCACGCGGGCCTATTGCGGATTGGTGGTTGCGGACGACTGCAGATGCAGCTGGGAATAACGGCTTAACGTGCCTTCCGAAGCACGGAGGAGATCGAGATAAATAGATTTATGGTGGATCTATTTATCTCATCATCTCGAGTTGTAATGACCAGCCTTTAGCACCCACCAATCCGCACTGGGTTTGAGTATGTCACTGCCCGTTCTTTCTTTTCGATTCAAAAGGTAGGCCTGTGCCCCAGCAGTGGGGACATTAAGTGACTGATAATATTAATATATGGCAGCCTCCGTAGCATGAGCACTACAATTTACATTATATCACGTTTTTTACCGCCTCTAACTATCAAACTTCAGAGAAATTTGACAATTAATCGTGATAAAAACGCCTTATATATCATATCGCGGATCTAGGGGGGCTGGAGATGTGACAAAAAAGGAGAGGAGGAGGTTCCCCCTCCCCTATCTCATACGTTTACATATGAGGCCATGAGAACCATAGTGGCCTAACTCATTTTTTAACCATAGTGGCCTATCTCACTTAGGCCAGTATGGCACCTCAAATTTAGATCACAGACTAAAAACCGTAGCAGTGATTATGCTGTCATCTAGTGAATATTCTTTGTATCACTTTTAAATCACTCGGGTTCTATCAAAATGGGCAATTTGAACTGCAAAAAATCATAAACTCAATATTCTAAAAAAATAGTAAGGCCACTGTGGTTCTCATAGCCTTATATTATCTAGCCGGTATTTAAAAAATATTTTCTCTCATTAACAGTACGAGATAAAAGACAAACTGGAGGAGATCTTCAACTCCATATCGGAAGAACCGTTACTGCCCACATCCGGTTCCTGCTCACCGGGCGGTAACACCAAAACGTATTCGCAAAACGTACCACCGTACACAAAATACTTCCCGGAGTTGTTCCTTTATTAGGTAAGTCGTAAATGTAAATAAAATAATAAAACAAGCGAGCCTTACAGTAGTCGCGTATGATGTGTAACATTTGAAACCTCACCTTATATTAGTAAAAAAAGAAATAAAACCTACTACAAGAGGAATAAGTCATTTGAACATTATGTTCTAAAATCAAATCAAATAGCGCGCGCTTCCCATACTTCCTGTTGCACACTTCCGTCCCACTTCACGTAATTACTCCCACAAATTGCACGAAAGCGAGAGGAAAGATGTTCATCAAAAATTGCTTCTCTTATTTAGATTCCACTTATCGCCAGTTTCAATAATCAACTTCCAGTAAAAGGTAAGGATGGTAACTTGGTTCCATTTTTATTACAACAGTTGTTATTTTATGGCCCGCCTGATGATAATCGGCCACCATAGCCTATAGACGCTTGTCATCATCATCATCATCATCAGCCTATTAATGTCCCCACTGCTGGGGCACAGGACTTCCCTATCGATGGAATATATATAAAGAGATTGGGCTATGACCCACCACGCGGGTCCAGTGCGGATTGGCGGGTGCCAACGACTGCAGATGCAGCCGGGACCAACGGCTTAACGTGCCTTCCGAAGCACGGAGGAAGATTTTTGGTCACCCATCCAATGAGAAAGTTGCTTTACTTCAACGATCGCAGCCGAATGCGCTAACCACCGGCGCCATCGAGTTTCAAATTGAAGCTTTCATTGAGTAGGCTTAGAACAGCTATACCTAAATCTATATTCCGACGACGAATATTATTATAATTAAAGAGAAGAAATACCATCAGGTGAGCCGTCAGCTGTTATGGCCCCTATAATATACATATATTAAAAAACAAATTGAAATGGGCCGTTACAGATTAGTTGCCTAGATATCTTTATTATTTAGATTTAAAATATATGTAACTTACTAAGAAATCAAACCAGATTATCCTTTTTCAATGACTTCTTACTGGAGGTTGTAACACAAAAATTGAGACAAATAGTATACAAAATTATATAAGTAATGTATGAATTTTATTTTCAGTCAGCTCAACATTGGACGCGGAATGAAACGACACGATATTATGTTATTTAAGTTATTAAATGCTTCCTCTATGACTGCTTATTGCATAAGTACGTTCGAAATAGTTGGCGGTACACAGAAAGTTAAAGAAGTAACTTCCTTGCTCTCGAACTAAATGGGTCATATAAATTCCTTGTATTATTGGAATTTTGCTCAAGCAATTATAGCCCTTATTACTGCCAACTTCGATTTTAATTAAATTATTTATCAAAAGTTATTGACTTGCAGATTAACTGTTTGTCTTTTAGTGCTTAATTTTGTTGAATACGTGATTTGAAACAGAAAAATGGAGAATGAATGAAAAAAAAGTTATATCTAGTATAAAATAATAATAAAATAAAAACGGTTTTATGCTAGAGAAACTTGTACCATTTGTATAAGTTGATGCCCTGCTTTAACGATTCTTAAAAGAAACAAAATAGAAACTAAGAGACAAACAATTAATCAAATAAACATTCCTAATAAAATGTATTTATTTTGGGAAACCAAAAGTTCACTATTAAGTAAGTGTATTATTATTCTGCACCCACAGCGTAAAGCATGTATACTTTTATTGTATTTTAAACAAGTAACGTTTTATACGTAATTATAATTATTCCATATTTATTTTATAAAATCGTAAATACCTATTAATTCTTCAATATTGTTTTATATTCTGTTTTACATCGTCTTTAACTCTTTCATCTTTCAAATTAATTCAATTCGTTGTCGACCTTATTGAATCCGAAAAATGCATAATCTCATTTTATTTTAAGGATTTCAAGTGAAGTAATATGTTTTCATAATTTCGACAATGTCCAGTAGAATCGAGTTTTTTAGTTTAACCAGTATCTATTATTAATATTACATTTTTATTTAATTAAAGAAATAAAGAATCTCTGCTACGTTTTTATTAGTGCTTCTAAGGGGGTGCTAATTTAATAGTTGTATTTCCATAAATACACAAATGAGACAGAACATAACATGATTTTGAATGGTTTAGAAAGTACAATAAAGGCAAAAACGTAAACTCTAGCCTCATCTAACTAGACTAGAACTAGAGATACAGTATCTCTTTTTTGTGTATAGCGTTGTCCCGCTTGCTGGATTGAGCAAGATGGATAGTGCGTAGAGGTCTTAAGGTTATTATTGAAATAAAATTATAAAATCAGCGCCTAAATATTATTATTTATCTAAATCTAACCAATATTTTTATAGGTAGGTATAAAAATTTCTTTACCGAATAAGAGTTGTTGAACTCGCATGCATTTACATGAACCTTTATTATATCATAATTTCGAGAGAACTGTAGTTACGCTGTTTATTGTAATAGATGGCGCTTCCCAATAATAATCATATTAAAATATAATTATGTAATAATGTCGTATTTAGACGACGGCTATCTAAAATTCACACTCGGCTTTCAGCAATTATTTCAAATTCTTTTACAACCAAGTGTAGAAATATATGATAGATAAACAACTTTTGACATATGATATTCAAATACTTTTGATAATTATTTAACTACTTTTATTGCAATGACAATATAACAATTTATTGTGTCACATTTTCTAAGTTTACACTTGACTGTACTACTGTGATCGTATCATGAAATCTCGATACGATTAATTTGCGAATATTAAAGTTTTTCGATTTTTTTAACAGCGACTTTTCGTTTCGCCTGCTTCTTTTGGGTCTTATTAAATTTCAAGGTCTATGTGTAAACGGTTAGCGGATTGTTCGGCTTAAATCGAATAAATTCAAAGGTAGTTGACTAAAATATCACGATATTATTAATAAATATACCCCAAATTTTAAGATAATGCAAAATATACCAAATATATCCTGTTGATATTCAAAACTAAAATTTACTGAAATCGTTTTAGTGTAATATTGCTATTAGATGATTTACTGTTAACTGTCATAAATGTGTTCAATTCTCTTTTAGCGTTAGCAATGTTCAAACTCAATTATGGGAAAAATATATAATATTATGATATAAATTAAGTAAATCTAAGCAATAAACTTTGTTACACTCTAGTAATGTTGATTCAGAAGTATATTTTACAATATTGGACGGATGGAAAGTGGATCCAATCACAACCAACATCAACATTTTAACCATACTAGTCGTATTTATAAGGCAACTATTTTGGCATCAGTACTGCCTTTGTCGTGTTTTTTTTGTAGAAGGGAGCTTATGGTAGCATTTAATTGTTACAACTCGCCCCAATAAAGATATTTATTAATAATAACCATACCAAATAAGGCTATGCAACATGCATCTTTTAAGCAAACTGTAAGTTTTGTCAGTTGATATTTTATATTATAGTTTTCAAATTTATAATTTATTCAAATGTTGTTTTTTTTTTGCTTTAGTCACTAATAAATCAAATTGGTTATAATAAAAAACCAAATAATAAAGTAAGTATTAAAAATTGCTCATTAGTTTTAAAAAGTGCATGTTGCTTAGACTATTTTGATGAGTATATTAATAGAAACGCAAGAAGACAATGTGTCCCTTTCGCAAATTATTTCTGACAGAATGCGTGAGAGGAATACAATATATTGCGTTGTCCGCCGTGATTCGTATCTTTATTGGCGCTGGTAATGGATTCCATTTATTTCTATTGTTTACTGTTTACATAGAGTTTTACAGGTATAGCATAAAGCATTGAAGTAGGTAATAGCTTTTCAAAAATGAGACATCAATATTTTCGCTTTTACCCATACAGAGTATTAGAGTTTCGGTTGTATTGGATCTGGTTTTCATAGTTATGTCCGCTTGCACATTCATAGGGAATATATTACCATATTTAGAACGCAGCGTACACATTTCAAAGTATTCGCTCATTTGCCCAAATATAAACTATTCTAGCAATGTTGAATGTTATTAATATTTTTATTTATGAATTTCATAATGCTTCAAATCAACACTTACGAGCTTTCTAGAAACCGTTAATTATACATTATTATCTACTTTCTCTTTTCTCTTTATTGAGCGGAAATTGTAACGATTAATATATCTACAAAATGTACAATAAATCGATATTATAACATTGATGTTATTGGAATGTATTTTCTCTATTGTTTTTTAATTTTAATATTATTAAGGGATAAATATGTGGATGGTAAGGAATAGTTGTTTTTGACAGATTGTAAAGTCCAATGTCTAATGTGAATAAATAAAATAAATCAGGAATGAACTGACAAAGTGCGATTTAGAATCGTGAACGAAGGGTTCCGTGCTTTCGCACGAGGTTAACAACATTGTATTTGCAATACCGATTTTTTTAAATCGCGTATAACAGGTGGCAACAGTTAAGGTATGGAGGCCCCTTTAATTTTTATATTTCATCGCAAATAATAGGGATGATGACGGGGTAAAGTAAAGGAAAATTAATATTTAGTCAGTCATTTAGATTATCAAAAAGTAATAGCCACTTATTTTTTATTCTGATGCTTATTTTAAAGTTGAGAGGGCTCGTGACGTCACTTCTTTGTACTTCATTGTACTAAAACGACATTTCAAATCAATATACCCCTGTAATGTGAATAAAGAAAAAATACGTGTCCAATATTTTTTACATTATCCCATTGGCACGGAACCCTAAAATGAACTCATTGTGGTGTGAGTGTAAAATGTTAAATATTATTAAATAAAATGACCTTGCGAGAATTACGTTTATTATGATAAAATCCTTCATATTTTCGGATCGAACTTAGAAACGATTCCATCTGTCGAGGACAAAATTGGGGAAAAATAGTATAAACTGAAGAAAATTTTGTTAGAAAAAAAAACTAGATTTAAATATCTAGCAGTTAAATGCTCAAAAAATAAAATATATAACGAGTATAAACTGTTTCTAGAATTTACATACTTTCATATTTTTCTCGGTTTAATTGACTATAATGTATTCAAAATCACAGAGGTACTTTAATTCGTGATAAATATGTTTTAATGAATTTAAACGATATTTAGATGATCAAAAAATAAAAAAAATGCATTCGAAAAAAAATCACTCTTTTTTTATGGACTTGGCCTTTACTGATTTGTCAGCTTTAACTGGGAATTGTGGTGGAAAAATTAGCGGTGGTTGACCTATTTGACTAGAGACGAGATATGAAAATCATAATTGAAGTTCTGATTCGTTAAGTATCTAGATAGTCGTGATTAATTTTACTGACATATAAACAATTTACTTATATTAATTATAAGTACACATAGTACAGCTACATGTCAGCCCCCCCCTGGTTGGTGGCCCGTTGACATTTAGTTATTGTTTTTCTCTTGTGGGCCACAGCCTGCCCTGCTTGCAAGCATAGAGCAACACGGAAGGGAGTAGTCATGGCGATATTAATACCATTCAAATCATCATGCCATTTTTTGCAGCGGTAACATGCAAAAAAAAACAATTAAACGTACATGCGTAAAACACACAAACAATGACACAATATACCGCAAAATTATGCACACCTGTATTACTTGTATGCCCTTTTCGACAGAGGGGAAAGCCGTGTATGCCTACTCCCCTTCCGGCAGCATCGGCCGTGTTGATTCATGCCTGCAAAAAGTAGTAAACACAATCACAACTTTAATGCAGAACTTACACCAAACTTGTATTTTAAAATAATCCTTATAACGTTGTAATAGGAGATATCATTAATTACGTGGCGAATCAGAGCTTGTATGTTTCCTCATGTTTGTCTTCGTGGTTCATTGTACTTAATGTTATGCGATGCGATCGTATTTAGGTTGTGTTTAAACGCTAATAAATGTGGTTTGGGCAATAAATTGGATTTTTATTTTCATCGTCTACTTTTGTTATTTGGAATTTCAATTAAAAAGGTACAACTCGTGTCACTAAACAAAGGAATCAAAACAGAAAATAATTGCGTGATATTTGCCGAGACCCCCCCTGGTCTCGGCAAATATCACGCATTTATTTTCTGATTGAAACAAAAACATATATACTGTTTTGGTCCATTTAATCCAGATTGTACATGCTTAAGATTTAATCCTAAGCGTAAGCGTAATACGATTAAGATCATTCACTAATTCGTTCTAAAGAAAATAATTTCATTCATACTTGCGTGCGCAAGCGCCAACGGCTCAGAGTGGCTAGATCAGAACGAAGTTGAAGGAGCAGATGATTTTACTGAAAATCTTATATATGGACATGTTGTTTCCAATAGTCTCCCTTGAGACCGCGCATGATTATCCATGGATTGAATTAGAGTAGATATTCGTTTTTCAATCACAGTAGTTACGATTTAAGTATTATATTGTTAAATTTTTATTACACATAACTCTCAGCAATATTGATTACTAGTCTTAACTAGTCGTAAATAAAAGCACGAAGCATTTTTTCTCTTTACAATAACAATCCAACGCGTTTACGTAAGAAACCCACATTTTGAAAAATCTCACGTGAGATTGGGGGTTGGAGGAGGGGGTTAAATAAAATCTCACGACATCTCACCAGGGGGGGAGGGAGGGACAGAAAATTCAAAAAAACACCCACGTAATTTACGGACGCCCCCTATCACATATGTTTTAATACCTAATAATAAACATTTACTTAAAAGACTATCTACATCCATGAATATATGAATCCTCTTACGACGATGTATCATGTTATTTTCCAATTCATGAAATTTTGGTACGCCTCTACATACGTTTTTCTTGATTTTCCGGTAGTAATAAGTTGGAAATGTTCTTTGCTGCTTTGGAAATATCTGGTGGTGTGTTATCAAAACTGGAATCGCTCATTTTTATTACCATAACAACTAAGGAATAAACTTATGCAAAACTAATATCGAAACAAAATTGGGTGGGTCCAGTGCCGGTTTTAGTACTAACAGCGCCCTGGGCGAGATTTCTACGGCGCCCCCTAATTGCAATTCAAACCCATACGAAAAAAGGCGAAGGATAATAATGAAATAACCATTTATGAAAAGAAATAAACATTTATTAAAAAAACTAATAAAATTTTACTTTTCTAGCCTTTTTATCGGCGAACTCTTTTATTAAGTTATCAAAGTCGATGTTTTCAGCTATTTCATTTTCGATCGACAAAGTTGCCAAGTTTGTCAATCTACATTGTGATATCGTCGATCGCAGATAGGTTTTTATTAGCTTAAGCTTAGAAAAACTCCTCTCTCCACTAGCAACCGTTACGGGAATAGTTAATAATATTCGTAATGCTATCCAAACATTTGGATATAGTTCTTTTAAGTTGCGGTCTTTAATAAAATTTAAAACAAAAACAGGAGTAACCACTTTCTGATCAGGCAAAAACGATTTCAGACTTATGAGTTCATCGCACAACATACATCCATCTATATCTGATTTGGAATTTACATTTAATTTCAATTGAAGATCACTACAGAGTTTGATAAGGTCGTGTTTTTCTGGAATCTGTTTTAAATTGTACAAAAAAGACCAAGATTCCGAGTACTCACATAACTGTTCAAATCTTTCGTTGAGTGAAGTTAACGTCGTGTCCAAAAGACAGTTGAAAAATTCAACCTCAAATTTTTTTTCTGGAGAAGTTATAGGCTCATCTTGGGCAATTTCACCAGCTTGGCGCTTAACACGTCGAATTCTTGTTGTCGCTCTAAACACAGGTTCTATTTCTAACTCTTCAGCCAATTCCTTCGCAGTTAGAATGGCGCTTTTAAAGCCTGTATTTCTATATTCTTCCAAGAAATTGCAGCATTTTTTCAGCATGTCTGTGCATTTACCGAGATCCATGTCTGTTGATTGTAGAGATTTACTAACGACATTAATTTGAAAAAGTATGTCATACCAGACAACCAATGAAACTATGAAGCCGAAATCTTTTAGTTGTTCGGCTAGAGTAGTAGCCTCATGAGAGACTTGAACATCAGTTTGCTGAGTTTCGATAGCCAAAGTGATTAAAGCGTCATGGACGGCGCTAATTTGATAACGGACTGCTTTAACACTGCCTATTCTTGCTTCCCAACGCGTGTCACTGAGTTTTTTTATAGTGTACAATCCCAAGTGATCGGTCAGAATTTTCCATCGATGAACAGAAGCTGAAAACAACGTAAACAACCTCTGAAGTACTCCAAACAAAGTGACAGATTTTACAGATGACTTAGCGGCATCGCATAGTACGAGATTGTAGCTATGACAGCCACACGGCACATATACAGCTAAAGGATTTATGTCCAGAATTCTTCTTTGAACTCCAATATTTTTTCCTTTCATGTTTGCTCCGTTGTCATAGCCCTGACCTCTACAATCGTTCAATTCCAGTCCGTATTTATTTAAAATATCAATAATAACTTCAGTCAGCCTTTCACCAGTCGACTCATTAACAGGTATAAATTCTATGAAATGCTCTTTTACTGATATTTTATCGACATCTGATGATAAATCAACAAATCGTATTGTCAGTGAAAGCTGTTCTATATGACTAATGTCCGGAGTACAGTCAGCTATAATAGAATAATATTTCGATTTCTTTGCACGTGATATGATTTCTGACTTCACTTTTTCACCCATCAGCTCTATTAATTCATTTTGAATGTCTTTTCCGCAGTAGTGGTCAGAAACATCACCCTTTACAGCTAAACGCAAGTGCTCCTCCATAACTGGATCAAATTTGGCTAGTAGTTGTACTAAACCCAAGAACTTTCCATTATTTGGCGTATATAGTTTGTCGGAAGTACCTCTAAACGCCATATTGTTTTCAGCTAAATACAGTGTAATATGCATTAATCTAGACAAAATATTATTCCACCTTGTAGTTTCCTTTCTAATCAAATGTTGCTCTTGACAATCTATTGTTTTTCCCGTTTTTAATCTTAGTTCAGCCTCAATCCATGAGAGGTAAAACTTCTTATGAAAAGTGCTACTTTCATGAACTTTTAACATTTCTGATAAGTGTTTCCAGTCGTTATATCCTTCAGATGCTAAATTCGACGTTGAGCTGCTATCAAATAGCCGGCAACAAAAACAGTAAACTCGATTTTTAGAAACTGAGTATATTAACCAACGACGCTGAATTATTTCATTGTTTGCAAGTTTTTTTGTAAAATGAGAATTTGAGAAATGTCGCCCTGTATCATTTTTTGGATAATTATCAATGTGAGTTTGCACTGGGCCATTAGTTATTATATGATCAATAACTTTGCTATTTCGAGTGAGTGGCCAAGTGGCTGGATCCGATATATTTGGAGCAAGAGAACTAATGTCATCTAGAATTTGTATTTGTTGTACATCACCAATAGTGTCATCCTGAGCAGCATCTGTAATTGTAACACAACTTGTCTCCTCACTTCGGGAAACTTCGTCCACAATATCTTCAACAGCTAACTGATCTGACTTGTCAGACAGAGACTCCACTACCGATGCATTCGCTTGTATTTCAGATGTAGATGCCACATTAAGGTCTTGATTTTTTGTTGTGATATATTTGCCTATATTCATAAACTTTTTTGTTTTTTCAAATTCCTTCTCTTTTTCTGCTTTTCGCTTTCTATATTTTGATCCAGATGGTTTTCTTTTGAAAGGATCAACGTGTTCAGACATTTTGTACTAATCAAATCTGCAACAAATTAAATCTGCGTAAGTCCGATCATTTCTATAAATTAATTAAATATAGCGCTATTGAGGGAGGACGACCAAAAACGCTTTATATTCAGTAGCCTTACCATGAGTTTGTAAAAACGTTCTCTTCTCGCTATCGAAAACTATCGCTTTGTCCCTGTCATTGTGGTGCACGTGAAAGAGACAAAGCTATAGTTTTCGATAGCGAGAACGTTTTTTCAAACTCATGGTAAGGCCACAGGAAAGCTTTAGCATACACGTGAACTACGATCGAAAAATCTAGGTAAGGTAATATTGTCATGGCAGCGGAATAATTGTGAAATGTTATATTTAAAAGCTTGTGTTACGTGATAGTGCTTAGATTTGTATGAAAAAAATCACGATCATCCACTCGTTCCCGAAAAAATGACTTCTATGTACAGTCAGATGCAAAAGTCGGTGGACACTTTTCACCTTTAACACAAAGGCTTACGAATGAACAGGCTTCATCCACTTTTACACTTGACCGTACCTCCTCGACATTCATTTATTATCTCCGTGTTAAAATTTCATCAACATTATATAGTCAGTTCTAGAGATATTTTATAATATACTAGCTGTTGCCCGCGCAGCTACGCTCGCGTGGTATCCCTATTTAAACCTATAACCCTTTTTTGTCGCATCGCAATCGGTTAAAAAGTAGCCTATAGCAGTCTCATGAGTTCCAACTATACATATGTCAAATTTCATCACAATCGGTTTAGTGGTTTAGGCGTGAAGGGAAGACAAACGAACAAACAAACAAACACACTTTTCCATTTATAATATTAGTATGGATAATTTCCTTTAAAGAGATTACCCCACTCCAAACATAACAAACAAACAAATGTTACCTCTTTAGTATAATAAGTAAAGATAGTTAAAATAAAATTGTACTTACCTAATTAGTGAAATAATCCGTCATGAAGCAAATACCTACTTAAACACTATTTGAATTTCAACTTTTTGGATAAAACCTATGTCACTCTGTAGTCGGCGACAAAAAGTAAAAAACATGCACTTCGTAACTTAGCGTGGACCGCCTGATTACTGCGTCTGTTTGTTTTAAAATATGTAATTACGATAACTGTTTTTAAGTGCGTGCACCGATTGAATGAATAAGAATGAGCTGTGTTCCGCTCCATCAAAAATAACGTCAACTCTTCTGAACTAAAATGTTAAAAAGAGATAGATAATGTGTTTCTCTGTGGTCGGGGATTCCCAGTTTTAACGGATTGAGCACTGCGTTCCATTCTAGTGTTGCCAACACATCGTTTTTTTTTTTCACTTACAGAGA